GCTCTGTCAACTCGAAATCTGTCTTTAAACAAGACCATCAATATCATTAAGCTTTATCCAAATTAAGTTTACAGTCAAATTAGAAAAGGTGGTGTAGATCTGAAATTTATGATTACAATATTTATTTACCAGAAACAAAAAAAAGTAAAAACAAAACAACAAGAAAAAAACGGCTGAATAGCTGACTTTGCAGTCAAATGTGTTACAATTATTTGATTTGTGAATGGTTACATGTCCATGTACCCTAAAAGGATGAAGTTTGGGATAACAAGGACTCTCCCTAGTGCTGGCCCACTGGACAAACTAAACTGAAGATCTGGGGTCCGCTTTTCGTACCTCACTTAAATGATCTGAGATGATTTGGCAGATCCTGGATCTTGTAATCTTGATAACTGATCTTTGGTTTATTTGGTTCTTCAAACAAGTTTGCGAGTCAGATTAAAATGTCTGGATGAACTGATCTTAGATCGCTGTGTGTGTTGAGAAGGACTGATCTATCAATCCTCAAAATCATGATCAGCAATGCAGCGATTGGCTGACATCATCTGATTAATATTCAATTATCCATGTGAGCAAAATTACATAAAATTCATAGTAAACGGTTTGTTAAATATGATGGAAATAACTTTCCAACTTTGTTGTGGGCTGCTTGCTTTACATTTTCATGTGTCAAGAGTATTTAGCAATTTAGTTACTTTTACAGGATTTTCTTTATTATAGTAACCATAGTAGTATTATTGTAGCCGGTTTCTTAATTGATGTAAAGAATAACTGGATGTTCAATTTAATTTTGCATCACAAAAGCATTTTGATAATGGTAAAAGTGTCTTTAACTTTTGTGAAGCATCAAATCATGAATGCACATCAGTAACTCGCCAGTAACTTGTTATAAATGTTTGTCCCTGAAAGATAACATTGTAAATAACTGTATATCTGGTGACCACAATATTCAAATCTCTTGGAGGAACTGTAGTCAGAACTAAAGGTCACAGGACTGTGTTCACTGGAATCCTCCCAAGCGGTGGACTTCTACATTCTGATTGCTTGCCACCGAATCGCGTCATATCTCATTACCATAAAGTTGACTTGATTACAACTCTCCTCAACGCCCGCACCGGCGAAGATGCGCTGATTCTGACCACTTATTGCCGCTGGCTCCCATTGAAAACTAATAACTTTCTGCTACTTTGACAGTCTCGCGAAATTCTGTGTGAGTGTACAGTTTGAATAACAGGACTTAGAGAAAAATAGGAGACACGACTACTTTTCTTTTATCTAAAGTATTATGTATGTCTTTAAATAAATGTTTTTGAGGCAAAGACAAGATATGGGGTTACACAACAATGCACAAAAAAGATTTTAATGATTATATTTTACAGTGAAATGCAGGGTTAAAGAGTGTGTGCAAGCTGAAAATGCAACTTTTCTGTGTTTTAAGCTGTTTTTAACTAACCTTTTAACGTTATAGATTAAATTAGTAGTTTAAACAGTATAAAGGGCACTTACAGTTTTTCTCTATGGGTTTGATCATTTCTTGAAACAGAAATTACATTCTCAAAATTCTAAAATCATTTGGCAAAACAGTGTTTCAGTTTAGCACAACACTATAGCTCACTTGCAAAAGCTCATATCTTTCCCAAAAAAGTTCACTCATGCATCAACACTAAATTGCTTTCCCATATAAAAAGTCAATGCCACAAAAATGGCAAATATCCTTCTCAATTGCTTTGGCTCATTTCTTGAAACGGACCAGGCATTCTCAAAACTCTTAGTGCTTTTGCTAAAATAATGTGAATGGTTCGGCACACCACCATGGTTCACCTGCAACAGCTCATACCTTTCCCAAAACAGTTCACTCATGTGTCAAAACTAAATTTCCTTCTCATTTAAACAGTCAGTGCCCCCCAAAATGCTTCATCCCTTTATCATTGTGCAAGTCAAAACATTTAGATGTTCTGTCACTATGGCAAAGGACCACTAAAATATCCCTCATGTCCACTTTACAGTCTCAGCCCAGTCCTTCATTGACAATGGTTACTGTACTGTTTCTGTCTAGCTAACAGAATACAATTGTGTATAAAAGTGAAGAAAAAAAAAAGAAATAGGATTTTAGGGTAAGAGTAGCCTCCTAGGATTGACGTCACTCATTGCACTCATACTGCCAAGAAAATGGTAAGTCCTTTTTTTTATTATAATGATGATCAACCACACACAAAGTAACTTCCATATATCAGAGCAAACAGAAACTGTATACAGCATAATAAACTGTAATATAAACACACAAACAAAAAACTAGAGTGCTATAAATAAAGCTTGAGTTTCATAACAGTTCTTTACTGCCTGCTGCCCTCACCCTTCTGACCATCCACACGCTGCAGTCTGTGTGGCCACAGATTCTTGTCCACATCACAGCGTATATTCTCCCTTGCGATGCAACAAGGAAAGAAACGGTGTGAATGTCGCAACTATCCTCCACAATAATCAATTGTTCCAAGGATTCACCTACTGTATGGTATTCATGGTATTATGGTCTTGACTAATTTTGTCAATGGAACAAACTATTGTCTTATCAGTTTAGATCAACAAGATCTAATCACTTGGAAAATGTGCCAAATGTAGGCTATCTGTACTTAATCATTTGCAAATGATATAAATGAAATACTGAATGAGAAATTCAATTCTGTTGTGAACAATTTCAAAGTGGTTTGGAGGTTTGTCCATGTTGTTTAGAGAATGTAATTTCTGTTTCAAGACATGAGCCAAACCAATTTATACATATTAAGTCCTGTGGACAGAAATAGCACAAATATGTTTAGTCATATAAAACACATCACTGCATGCAGCCAGTGACATTTAAAAAATACAAAATGACAAATTAAGTATTGGGGCGCATTTTAAATGCTCACTTTTACTTGTATATTTCATATTCTATCTTTAAAAAATTCTGTACCGTTTACAACTTGAAAAAATTCTTACAATAAGTTTGTAGTCTACACCACATACATTACATTAATATGCCATGCAAACATCTTAACTGAATCAAAATAAGCAAACTGCTCTTTGAATTAAAATGACAACATTGTGTTATGATCTGCACAGTTAAAGTAACAGTTTACCAGTCTGTAGCAAAGGAGGCTCGGATGAACTGAATCAGAGATGACTTGGTTGAATGACTGCCTGAAGACCAGTGAAAAGGAGATGACTGTACGCAAGACTCGAAATCAATGAAAAAGCAAAAACCCGTCTCGCAGAGCCAGTGCAAGCAGGGGTTGGGGGGTTGATGGGGTGTGGCGATTGCATGTGCGAAGGAGGGGGCACTTTCTCTCTAGGAGAAAAAAATGTGTCAGTCTCCACAGCCCTACAAAGTTTAATTCCAAACCTGCTTCAACACATATACCTGCAGGTTTCAAACAGTGGTTTCCAGAGAACTTAGTTAAATTCCGAAGGGGGCGGGGTTGGTGGTTAATTTGTGTGCAAACTTGAAGAGTGGTGGAGGGAGAGTGCACTCTTAAAAAAAAGGTTCCTTGAGGTTCTATATAGAACCTTGGGTTTATACTTGGCCAGTAGAACCTTTTACCCAAAAAATGGTTCCATTTAGAACCCTTTGACTGCAAAGAACCTTTTTGAATAAAATGGTTCTATAATTTTTGAATCATAACATAATTATGTAGCAAAGATTATAAAATAATTATAAGCTACAACACAGAGAGACAAAGCTTTTTGAGTCAAAACCTAATAAAATGAATGCTGTGGTCAGAAACTTAATCAGTGTACAGTATGATGGGATTTTTTTTCATGCAGGTTTGTACAATAGCATATAACTTATAGGCCTAGTTTATATATATTCAATGTTTAACATTTTTGACAAATTATTTAGTGAAATACATAAAATGACCAATTTATTTAGACTGTGCAGTAACATGTTGTTATGGTTTAATAATTAATTTTAAACTAATAATCATAAAAAGCCCTCTGGTGACGTCAGTCATTGACAAGAACATCGTTATGGACCGGCGGTAAAGAGCCTCGAGAGTGAATGTTAATTTTTCGAAAGGAGAAGTCCTCTATTTTAGCTTCATCATTCAGGTATGTAAGTACATTTAATATATATAGTGAAATATTTTGTATTATGAAGTAATGTATCTATTTGATAGAAAATCCCTCGTGTTTTATGGGGATACAGACTGAATGGGGGTAGCGTTAATATGGATAAACACTGTGCTTGTGATGACCTTGGTCGTCACCCTTCTGTTCAGAAATCTGTTAAGTGTAATTTGTTCTGCTTTTTATTCGAAATAAGTTACAATATCGCTATACTTGTTTGCCAGTACTACTAATTAAATTACCGATAACAATATACAGCTGTGTTATTTCAAGGCGAGCTTCGAGAGAGCGTGAATGAAGCATGTGCACGTGATTTTAAAAGTAACTTGATATGAGCCGATTTCATCGTGTTTTTCGTGTTGTTTTTAGCTCCAACCTTGAACAAACGCTCACTTTTAGCTTGGTTCATGTGTGTTTTATCAGGAATTGACCTAAACTCTGCAAAGTAGTGGACATAACTGCCCGCGGTTGAGACGGTCCGTGTAGCCGTAAAACCGCAAGGTAGCAGTGCTACGCTCGTGCCCGCACGGGCAGATTCGTGCCTTGAGTCTGTGCACGCGCGGGAGGCCAGTCACGGTGGCAAGTTCTCCCTATGGCCAGTCCGCCCCTGAATATTATTGAAACCTTTAAAAAGCCAAACATATTTTAACAATCCATAGACGAAAGATCAGGTCTTAAAGCAAAGGTCTTAAGATCAGGTGCTAAATAAGTTTAAAATAAATATTTTAATGTATATTTTATTTTTCTTTAAACAGCCTGAAAACTGAACTGCATCATAAAACTTGTGCTTGGTATGTATCATTGTTTTAAAATCCAAACAAACTGTATTGTGGTCAGTAAAATGAAATGAATATTATAAAAGACTTCAAGATTGTATTTATCCTTACAGAAAAGTGTCATGGGACCCATATTAAGTACCCAACTTTGATTTGCTTGACACAAGTAGCTTTGCAGAAGAAGGATTCCAGCTTAAATAAAAACACGTGTCACATCCATAATTGTTTGACATCATCTTCAAGCACACCTGGTAAAGTATTGTATTTTATAACATGCATATTTCAGACTTGTTGGTTGTTGTGTACTGAAGTAATATATTTATCCCAAAAATATTCTATTACTTACTACTGCTGTTTTAATACAGTGAGAATATTAAGGTCGTTGCTAAATAAAAAGTCCTGCAGAGAAGAAATATGTATTGAAAGGTGTAAATTTGCCTACAGGATTCCTTGTTGCAATGTCTTCAAAACAAATGTAAAAATGAAAGCATTAAAGTGGTGAGCTCATAATGATGGGATCAAAAGGAAGTGAACTGGACTCTGAGGAACTTAACACAAGGTAAGTTCATTTCAATAGATTTTATGTCAAGATTCATTATGAGATTTAAATTCATATTTACACACTCTACAAATGCTGTCTTCCTACCTCAGATTGTGATGGACCTAGAATGCAACACCGTTTACGAATAAGTCAAGAACCAAATGAAACACTATTTTCCAGAGCGCAGATTATGGAAGGGTCTGCAAAACTAATGGAGCAGTTTCTTCTTCTTGGAGTGCCACAGCTTGTGAGTAACCAAACACTGTTATATTGTGTGCCAAATAGATATGAAAAATCTGTGTATATGACGTTTTAAAGCTCATTTGGTAAAGCAATGCATTAGCAATGCCTAATGTGTTACAGGTCTCATATATTAATAAATGTATTGATTAAACACAATCTAAGCCCCTTTGGATAAAAGTATCTGCTAAATATGATGTATGTCAGGGGTGTCAAACTCAGCTCCAAAAGGGCCGAAGCACTGCACAGTTCAGTTCCAACCCTGCTCCAACACACTTACCTGTAGGTTTCAAACAAGCCTGAAAGACTCAATTAGTTTGATCAGGTGTGTTTAATTAGGGTTGGAACTAAACTGTGCAGAGCTGCGGCCATTTTGAAACTTAGTTTGACACCTGTGATGTATGTTATTTGATATACAGTTATTTTGTTCTTATTCTAATTTTATTGCTTTGTTTAATGTACATACTGAATTGAGGTCACTCAGAAATGTCAATTTCATTAAATTCTGTAACAAATGAAATGCAGATTAAATAGAAAATATATTACAGCTGTCTACTCTGTATTTATGTATTTTTGATGACTTTAAAGTACTTGTACTGCTGAAAATGTGTCACTTCGAAACTGACACAAAGTAAACAAAATGTTTTAATTTAGGATGCTGCATATAAGGACTTAGTGAAGAACACAGAAACATCTTTAAAAGAAATGGCCCAAAAGAAGGGAAGGAAAGAAGGAAGTGCTCTATGCTAGTCTCATTGGACCAGCAGAGGAAACCACAGAAGGTAACTACACTAGACATAACCCCCCATAAAAACACACTTTAATTGTATTAATTATAACTGTATTTCTATTTGACTTATGTTCATTGGTTAAAAGTACGCAGCATTATAATATTGTTTTACAGAAATCCAAAGGTCCTAACAGCTCTCCTGATTCCGTCAAGGCTTGAAGTGTCAGCATTACGTTGGCCTACACTCCCTCACTTGCCTTCCGCTCCCTCATTTATCAGAGGCACCACAGTAGAATGAATTAGCAATTACTTTTCACTTTCCAGCCGCAACCCAGCTCTGGGAAACACCTATACACTCTCTCATACACCTGCACACATTCACTCACTGTGGCCAATTCACCAATACCATACGCATGCCTTTGGACTGTATGGACAACTGGAGCACCCAGAGGAAACCCACACAAACACTGGGAGAACTTGCAAACTTCACACAGAAACACCAACTGACCCAGTCGGGACTCGAACCAGTGACCTTCTTGCTGTGATGTGACAGTTCTAACCAGTGAGCCACTGTGCCACCCATTGACAAAACTATTTTTGTTTTAAGAGAGGCCGGCAAATATGGACATGCTACAGGTTGTGGAATGGCTGTTCTCAGTGTTTTGTCTAATCATTTTGCGATGTTTTGTATGCCATTAAGCACTTTCTTCAATAACTTTCATTGAAAATGATGTATAAACATGGATGTTGCCATGACCAATACATACATGTACCGTCAACTTGTTGAAATTGTAGTGTTATTCAATAGATGTTTGTGTATTGTTTCTATCTGCATTGTAATATATTTTTCTACATTTTACAGATGTTTGAAAGTTAAGTATTGTATTTGTTCAATCAGTAAACAAGCTTACAAATGTTTATTAAAAAGTGAGATCATTAGAATTAGATTGTTGAATGCCATTAAGCTGTTAATTATGTTTACTAATTAAATAGTAAAATGTATAATGTATAATGTTTAGAGGTAGATCTTATACAAAGTAAAATTGCAGAGGTGCAATTTTAAATATTATTTAAAAATTATTTTGTTAAATAAATTGAATAAATTTAAACAATTTGAATTTTCTGCATTGGTTTTATTTTTTATTCAATAATAAATAACATTAATTCAAAAATAAATAAAGAACCCTCAAATGGTTCTAAATATAACCATGTAACTTGAATTCAAAGAACCATTTGAGGTTCTATTTAATGAACCCTTAAAATGGATCTATTTAGAACCTTTTTGGGGTTCCATATATGAAGCGCTTGATAGAACCATTTTTGGTTCTATATAGAACCTTTTTTTTAAGAGTGAAAGAACCATTTGGGGTTCTATTTAATGAACCCTTAAAATGGTTCTATTTAGTTTAGCATCGTTTAGCATGGTTCTGCATAGTTTAGTTCCAAACCTGCTTCAACATGGGGAGGGGGGGGGGTATATTGGGGAGGGAATGCGATCTGTGCACGAAGTTGAAGAGGGTGGGTGTGTGGTCTTTGGTGTGTTGTGTTGGTAGGATCTGCGCGTAAAGTTAAAGAGCAGTGGGGTGATTGCATGGATGAAAAAGTGGGCTTTTTTATTTTGAGCTTGAAGAACTTTCTCTTCAAGAGAAAAAAATGTGTCAAACTCAGTTCCTGGGGGATTACAGCCTTGCATAGTTTAGTCCCAAATCTGCTTCAACACATGTAGCTGCAGGTTTCAAGCAGTTGTGTGCAGAGAACTTTCGAGGGGCAGGGGCTCGAAGTTGAATTCCAACAGGTGGGGTTGGTTGTTTATCTGTGTGCAAAGTTGAAGATCGGAGGAAGGGGGAGTGCGGTGGATGGGTTTGTATGCAAAGTTGAAGATCGGAGGAAGGGGGAGTGCGGTGGATGGGTTTGTATGCAAAGTTGAAGATCGGAGGAAGGGGGAGTGCGGTGGATGGGTTTGTATGCAAAGTTGAAGATCGGAGGAAGGGGGAGTGCGGTGGATGGGTTTGTATGCAAAGTTGAAGTGGTGCAAAAGAGGGGGCATTTTCATTTTAAGATGGCATATTCATTTTAAGAGATAATAAAAAAATGTGTCAAACTCATCTCCTGGAGGGCCACAGCCCTGCATAGTATAGTCCCAAACCTCCTTCTATACATTTACCTGCAGGTTTCAAGCAGTGGTGTGCAGAGACCTTTGAGGGGCAGGGGCCCGAAGTTGAAGTCCGAGTTGATGTCAACCCAATATTCATTTCCAAACAATATGCAATGTCCCACGGTGCTGGGGTGTGTTAGTCTGTTGATGTCCTGAGCCTGCTGGGAGAATTCTGAAAGTCAAATTTTTTATGAAAATGAATTACAGTTTTTCTTAGTTGTTTACACACAATTACTTGTACTACAGACAGGGGCGGACTGGCCATCTGGCACACCGGGCACTTTCCCGTTGGGCCGACGTACTTTTTGGGCCGGGCTGATCATCGTCTTATGATCTGATCGGCCCATAAAAGGCTTTGCAGCCTATCGTTTTTTTTCTGTCTTATTAATTGACGCTGCTGTGATCTGTGACTCTCTGAAAGTAAGATGCTTTTTTTTCCGGACAGACAGACCGGGCCGGCCCGTGTGACACTCTGCAGCCCATTAGCTCTTTTCGGTATTGACATTGGGCTGGCCCAATCACAAACTCCAATTTTGGACTCGGTGTGAGCGTGCGTCGTCTGTGTGTATTTGTCAAAATAGTCGAGAGTCAGAGAGAAAAAAAGCAAGGGAGGCGCAGAGAAATCGCGGGAAATACACCGGCGTTTCATTTAGCCCCAGGTGAGAGTATAGTGCATGTCAGACAGTTTATCTGCTGGATGATCTCATCTCACTATAGTTGTTAAACGTGATATTGAATTCATCTTGTTGTTTTGGCTGAGTGCAAAGATAAGGTAATATATTAATTTATGTAACCACACACACTGATTCTGCACACTGACTGATTGCTTACCTTTATCGTATAAATGTATTGTACGTTATACTGTCATAATGGCCATTATTGATTATTAAAACTGATATTCTGCAAAAGAGACGGTGTAAAGTTTGTTATTTTCAAAGAAAATGAAAGGAGGCAGTTATATTTAAGCCCTGTTTAGTTATAAATATGCAGAGTGAAGATGACGCTCATATAAATGTGTAGCTACACGCTACAGGCTGTTTGGTGTCTGTTAATCATAATATCAAAATGTAACAAATTTCCTTATATTATGTTTTCATTGTTTAGATAGTGAAACAGCAAGCCGGATGAGGTGACAGAGGTTATAAAGTACACTGTTCCCTTTGAAGATTTACCCATGCATCAGCAGGGAGTTTTTGGTATGTTTATTATTGAATATAGGCTGAGTGAATAGTGTATTGAATAAGCTAAATTGGCTGTAGTGTATGAGTGTGTGTGAATGAGTGTGTATGGGTGATTTCCAATATTGGGTTGGGGCTGGAAAGGCATCTGCTGCATAAAAGTCGCTGGAATAGTTGGAAGTTCATTCCACTGCGGCAACCCCTGATAAATAAGAGACTAATGCGAAGAAAAATAAATGAATGAATAGTGTATTTTTTAGAACTCAACAAATATCTTTATGGACAGTATACAGAAATTAAATTGAGATTAAAGTTTGTTTTTATTTATTTATTTCATATATATGGCTTTTGTGTTTTATAAATTATGAGTTGATAAAAATGTTGAACGTGCATAGATAGATAGCATTTTGATTGAATGTAGTGGGCCGCTCTGGCCCAAAATGCCAGGGCCGATTTTTTGCCCCAGTCCAGCCCTGACTACAGACACAATTTCTACAACATGTAACTGATGCACCAACCCCCTGAACCAATTCTGCTAAACTACAAGCACAATTCCTGCTTTACACTCAAATTGCAGGTTTACAACAAACTTTTCAAAACACTACACACAATTCTCTGCATTTTACACAATTTTCATGCAGAAAATCTTTTCTTTTCACAAGGAACACACTGTCATTCACAATTGTAAAGTCAGTTGCCTTACTTTGCATACTAACTCATTACATGAGTAAACACTTGTCTCACTGAATTTCAATTTAGAAATCAGAGCTCATCTGGATCATAACTGGTTTACTGCCCACCCATAATTTTTTGTGCTTTATCTCCCTCCATATTCTCCATTCCTCAAACCTATTGAGGAATTGTTTTTCTGCCTGGAGATGTAAAGTGTATGACCGAAATCCACACACACGTATACCCCTTCTCCAAGCTATAGCAGTTGATGCTTTTCATGGCTGGATTCACCATGCGAGGTGACATTCCCCCCGCTGCTTGGCCAGAACAAAACAGAAAAGAGGATGCAGTATAGCTGTTTTTTTTTTTTTTTTTTCCTGTAGCTGTGTTCTGTAAATACTTCTGTTGATGATACATGTAGACCACGTTATCTGCAACTTTGTGTTGGTTGGGACGAACACTGTGTACACAGTTTTTGTGGGGAAAATACAGTAACAAATATTTGGTATTTGTGTGTTTTGTATAAAACAATATTCTGAAATATTTTACAGTGCACTTCTGTAGGCCTATGTACTGTCTGTCTGTAGTAAGTGTAACACTGAACAAAAAAGGCTGACAGTAAGTCATTATGATGAATGGTCATTGTGTTTTACATTCAGCACATCAGTGTTCAACTGTTCTTATAATTGTCTATTGATGTGATGGCTTGTGTGTGTCATTTGAAAACAAAAGACCATTTTGAAAAGAAATCACACTGTTTTGAACGTAGAGTTTCATTTTGGAGAAGAATTGAAGAGTTTTGCCCAATGTGTGTGTGTTTTGTGATTTGTGTGTATAGTTCTGACAATATGAGATCTGCTTTCAAAAAATGTGTGTAAACAATTGGAAAAAAAACTGTAATATATTATACACCTATTTTGCATGTTTAACCATGGTGTTGTATAGAACGTGTATTACATAAAAGCTTGCAATTCTTAATGTTATGTAATGTAACTATATATGTTTTATCAAATACAAAAATATTGTCAAATATTGCCCCCTACTTGTAGCTGTACATTAATTTTTATAAGCTTATTATAATCTACTAGTTTCTTTTTATTGTGAACACAAACTATTGAATATAATTTAAAAGCAGCAAGAGAGTTTGTTCTTTGTGGTCATGGTATTCAGATTATTTTGTAATTTTTGTTACAAAAAAAGAACAAACAACGCAGAAGAAAATCATGACTCAAACAAACAATACACAAATTATAGATTTAACAGAAACTGATGTGATCCATGCAGTTTTCTTTTATATTATCGTAGTAACTTGTTTCTGAACATCAAACATATAATAATTGTCCAACTCTGGACACCAGATACTTTCAGGAAATATCAGTTTGTTTGGTATCAGAACAACCAGGCAGCACAGCTTTTTAAACCCACGAGCCTGTTATAAATTGGTACCTGTAGTACCAAAACTGCATTATATGTCAATAAATAAATAAACAAATAAATAAATATTGACTGATGATTGTAATGATGATTAAAAAAGTGTTTATTAAATCTTGGTTAGCCTTTATGTTTCCCTTTGATCAGTAGTTTTATTATACCATAAGCAATAGCAATGGACAATTATTGCTTTGCAACATTGTCCATTGACATTACATTACATTGTACATTGTGCAAAGTCATCTGAAATCAAAATTAACAATGCTTATTTTGCAACCACACATTATTATGTTATTTATGTGAACAAGTTAATTCTCTGATTTTTTCCCCCTACAATATTCTTAACCGCACCACTCTTACTGTTAGTTTGCTTAAAGAGACTAGCCCCTTTCATAGGGTGATACCGTAAAATTCAAATTATTTGCAAAAAGAAAGCCCTGCCCCTACTCAATATTCTGTTTTAGTCTGAAGTACATCAACACACTGAAAAGCATCAACAACTTCCAGTTTATGTAGACTTTAAATAACCAAAATAATTGATCTAAATAATTACATTCCAAAAATAATCAAATAAACATATATAAATGACTAATAAATACACATGATTATTTGATTAAATGAAACCATTAAATTAATGAATTAAAAACAACACATTAAACACATCAAATATCAATTGCTTTTCACCTTTTTAACAACCACCATTGTTACATTACAATAAATCTCAAATTTTTGATTCTGTGTGTGCTTGAAAACATGTACAAGTATTATTTATTGATTCAAATCTCACACTATGCTATATTTTCATCTCTGCATTATTACTTTCATTACTGAGAATCTAAATGAAGTAGAATCCGAGCGCTTGGAGTACATTTTTCTCCACATCTTGCTGTAATGCCGTAACATTTTCCAGACTTCACATCAATCTTCACAGGCTCAGACAGATCCGTACACTTGGCAGAATATGTTTTTACTGTACCATTACTGTTGGCGACCTCAAATGTGAATCCATCAAAATATCTATTTTCTTGCCACATTGTTGCTGCATTAATTTTATCATTGTCATCAAATATAAATCCGTCTGTAGATCTTCTTCCGGAATTGTTACCAACTTTGATCATGTGGCCAGTGTTGAAAAATACCTTAATGCCTTCCAATCTGCTGAATAGTTCGACCCTCTGCACAGATCAAAGTAACAGAAACAGTGTTACAAAGTATTCAAAGTAACAAGATGAAATAAAAACAATATGGATTTCAATAAGTACTACCACATTCACGTCAGCCAAGTTTCTTTCAAACATCTGCAGGGGCACGCAGAAGAAAGGTCATACAATCAAAACAAGTTAATGAAAATAATGTGATAATGTCGGAATTAAAAAATAAGCCGAATTAAGATGGAAACAATCTTCACACACCAGAAAACCTCGATAACCATGAACGCTGATCTTCTTAATGGTGGTGATGGATGGTCTTGTAGCAATCCCATGATCACAGGCTGAGCTGAAAAATATAAAATAATTTGTTTATTTTTGTCTATTCACCTTATTCTCATGTGTGTGTGTGTGTGTGTGTGTATCTTTGTATTTGAGTACAGTGTGTGTGTGTATGTGTGTGTGTATGTGTGTGTGTGTATGTGTGTGTGTGTGTGATTACCCCCTAAAATAGCAGTGGACACCCCATGTAAAAAAATGTAGCTCTGCTACTGCTTGGAGGCTAGCTGGTCCCTTTTACTGGCAACGAGAAAAGATTGTGGATTGCAGTGCTCTGTGGATTCAAGTTTCACACTTTGTGAGGGTGTGTGCTTGTGGTGGTATGCATGAGTGTTTAACTTTTATTTCCACTTAAACTAGCTTACCCCAGCCACTGAACAACCACAACCAATGACTTTTTTGTGTCCATTTACTATTATATTGCTGCCATTGGTTTTATGGCTATTGTGACCTTATGCTTGACGTTGTCATTTGAGAGTTTTTACTATTTATTGTGAACTTCAATATAACTTTTGAATATTGTTTCCCCACGTCTAGGGCTGGGCGATTATTTTAGATTAATTCAAATTTACGTTTTAAGGCGATTTAATTTTATATGAAATCGAGGTATCGCAATTTAAAAAAAAAAAAAAATTAGATACATTATAATTGCACCAATGCGCTTTGGTTCACTCTTATGGAACCAGATTAGTCTCAAAAGAAATTCACGCAAAAGACACGATGTACACATGCATATGAAGCGCAGAGTTGGTGTCATTGACTACAGCTCTCATCTGATTGGCTGAAAGGTACGACTTGCCCTGACTCTGGCAGGAAAGTCTCAAAAATACACACACACGTATCCAGGGGGAGTCGTACGTGAAAGAGGATTAGCACATTCTCATTCGGGATGAACTCGCAAGTTTTAAACATTCAAAGCTTTTTGTACACTCTTATAAATTTAAAACTAAAGCACAACAGCAGCTTGTTTAAATTCATTGGGTATAATCAGGGCCGGAGTGGGACTCCTTTTCAGCCCTGGAGTTTCAAGCCTTCGACCGGCCTACCTCAGTTCACGACTGACTATATTAAAATAAGGTCATTTCCAATTCAGTTTCTAATTACACTATCAAGTCTTTTTAAAGAAAACAGCTGCTTTAGAACTTCAAATGTTCAACAACCTTACAGTTTTATATGTCTTAACAATAAAAATGAAAAAAAAAAAAGTTCAACTCAGGTGCGGATCGAACACGGGTCGGCAGCTTGATAACGCAACGTGCTGACCGCTAGACCACAGCAGTACTGCTATGCTCAAATTGCCGGAATGACAATCCATCATTCTGCAGGCTACATTCTGCTCATAAGGCTGCGAGAAAAATATATAAGAAGAGCGGAGCTGCGGCAAAATAATGGATAAAAAGAGTGAGGCTATGGACAAATAATTCAATAAATGAAAAAAAGTGCAACTGCGACTGCTGTTTTCTCCGTTCGCCATGCTGGAGAGAAACAGTCTGCGCAAATGAAGCGCAGAGTTGGTGTCATTGACTACAGCTCTCATCTGATTGGCTGAAAGGTACGACTTGCCCTGACTCTGGCAGGAAAGTCTCAAAAATACACACACACGTATCCAGAGGGAGTCGTACGTGAAAGAGGATTAGCACATTCTCATTCGGGATGAACTCGCAAGTTTTAAACATTCAAAACTTTTTGTACAAAAGTTTTGTATTAATTTGCAAATCGTGTTTTGCATTTGTGAAACGTATTTTATGAAAATGTATTTTTATTTTGTGCATGTGAACATTTTTTGTGAATGCATGTGTACATCGTGTCTTTTGCGTGAATTATTATTGAGTCTAATCTGTCTCCATACACTCTCTGTATTACTCTGCCTGATCTGCCTATCTGGGTTTCAATCATGGTAGTGACGGACTGAACACAGAGACTGGACAGGTTAATTTAACCCAATGCATGAAGTTGTGGGCATGCATCGCAGCATTGGTGCAAATACAACAAATAAGTTAAGTTGTGTATTTTTCTTTTGTTAATACCTTTGCATCAAACACGCTTTGATCCACTCTGTCGCGCTGCTCCAGCGCTGCCTGACAAGGGGATTTACATTCAGACTAATGCTATGACTTCACGCTTTACTAAGTCACGTCTGTGTGGATTGTCAAGACATATTCCCTTATAATAACAAACAAATGATTGTGGAACTGTAATGTACTGTAAACGATAAAGGGAGGGTCGATTAAAAAAACAAATTCAACACTTTAAAAATAGTGAAGACTTGCCTGTGACAAAAATAACTGGAAAAATGAAATGACAAAATTGAACTGACCACAGGAATCGGTTCAGGGAAATGATTCGAACTTTCCTGAAGTTTTATTCATTTTTTTAATGCGCTTGATGAAAAACCACAGTGCTCGTACTCCACCAGCTGGTGACACATAATATTGCACATATGTGCCTATTTCGTAGATTATTAAATAATACACTGATCTTAATGCGCTATCTATGCATTATAATTTATTTAGTTAGTTAATTAACTGCAGCCCTTTGTCAGGACGAAGAAATAAACAAAAATGTATATTATTTTCGTAATTATTTGCTCGCTTACATGCTAGCGTGCATGCAGGTGTCACGCGCAGCGCGTCGCCGATTCACAGGTGCTCGTGCACGTCAGCATCAACCCCAGTTTGCGAGTTTGTAGCTAGCAGCAGGTAAGAACAAATCGATATCTGTAATACTAGCGTGTTTTGGAGGATAATTGTGTTAAACGAGTAAACTTTTACATTTGGGCTAACAAGTAGCGAAGCGAATTGTTGTGTTTTCCCCTTTTAGTTTGGCGTTGCTAACTTGACAGCTAAGTTAACGTTAACAGTTTTGACAACAAGTAACAAACTGCTCTTCTAAACTGCTCGAAGCTGCTAATCATGACTGAATATGTAATTATAATGTGGAGCAAAGTACAAGATTTAGCTTCCAAATATATTTGTGTCATTAAACAGTTGAAACAGTTAAGACAGTTGCGCTATTGCGGCTAATGATAGCATAGTTTAAATAAATGCATGGGCGTTATTTAACATGATATTATGCAGCATCACATGAAATCATCATCACTAGACAATGGGGATGATCAGACCAGGAGATCTGAGTTTATTATTAGACCTGGGTTTTGTTATTGATCAAAACACGAGTAGCATATTTGACCTTGAATTGCATATTGAGGTAAAGTTGGTTTTAGTGTACATTTCCTCTTAATAATATTAAGATTTCTTCTTAATAATATTTTAGAAAAGTATTCTTTGCAAACTCTGAATAGGTAAATCATATTAGCAGTCAGTGACTGTCAAAGTACAACACTGTTTACAGTCAATCAAATAGTGCGAATGTTGTTTTGAAGTCACACTGGCATCTATTTTAGACCCAATTTTTAAAACAGTGTTGATAAGGACAGTGTTACAAGTTGTCACTGTTCAAAAATGAATGAATGTCCGAATATAAAACCAACTTTACGTCAGTGAATGTTTTGTCTTTGACCACATAATCTTAACATATGGAATGACACAAGCAAGACATAATGAATTAGTCAAATAAATCTTATGGAACTTTAGGCTAGTTGCTGTTTCTAATTGCATTTTTAGGTATAATACACAGTAACGATTCTTTTTTTCCTTTCATTTTCCTTTGGCATAGTCCAGTGGTGGGCAAACTTTATAGACCTGAGGGCCACAGTAAGTTTTGCAAACTAAGTGAAGGGCCACATGTCAAATCCTTAAAAAATAACTTTTATTTATAGAGGCAGTATGCACGAGACATGTAATATCGGACAGAAACATGTCACAATAACACAAAACATATTTTTTTATATTTATTATTGACTAATGAGTCAAGTTTACAAGTCAAATGAATTTGCACTGCTCTTTATATTTATAATCACTTAGCAATCATGATAAAGCAATAAAATAATCCCTTATAAAATATAGAAATAATAATAATAACGTAATAATTTTTACAGTCACCACAGCGGAATGAAATACAACGTATCCAGCACGTTTTACACTGTGGATGCCCTTCCAGCTGCAACCCAGAATTAGGAAACATCCATACACACTCATTCACACACATCCACTATGGCCAATTTAGTGTATCCAATTCACCTATAGCGAATGTCTTTGGACTGTGGGAAACACCAGAGCACCTGGAGGAAACCCACGCCAACACAGGGAGACCATGCATACTCCACACAGAAATGCCAACTGACCCTGCCGAGACTCGAACCAGCAGCCTTCTTGCTGTGAGGTGACAGTGCTAACCACTGAGCCACCGTGTCACCCCACAGTAATGATCTTAAACATAAATGCTGGTGTTGTCTTGACAAAGCCAGGTCTAAAAGTTAAATAAAATAAAGATGAGAAGAGATAAGCATGCTTTAACATGTTTTATTAGTACATTTTAGCATGCTAACATGAATTAACATTCTTCTGAAATGGATAATGTAAATCTCTATGGGAATGCGTCAATAGAGCTTCCACTTTAGTACAGGGTAACGCTCCTTTAAATGAATGTGGGACCAAGGACCAGTGGAGGACTGATATATACTATCCACCCTCTCTCTTAAAAAGATCTAATCCATGTCCTGAAACACCCTCCTCTCCCACTTTCACTTCTAATTCTAACTGAGAGCAGTTAGTTTGAGAATGAATCTCTGTTATGAACGACTCGCGTGAGTTCCATGCGTCTCAGTGTGCATATCCACCTTTGTGATCTAAATCAGGGGTGGCCAATCCTGTTCCTAGAGAGCTACCTTCCTGCAGATTTCAGTTGCTACCTATATCAAACACACCTGAACCAATTATTAGGGCCTGAACACCATGTGATAATTACAGGCAGGTGTGTTTGATATGGGTTGCAACTGAAATCTGCAGGAAGGTGGCTCTCCAGGAACAGGATTGGCCACCCCTGATCTAAATGGTATAACATTTGTAATATTCAGTAATTTAGTATGGAAAGTATCTAAATTGAGGTGTAAGTACTGTTATGTTATCAGCCACCTTCATAAGTTACTTAAAAAACTAGCTGTTAATTCACTTAGACTTTTGTACAAAAGTTCGTAACATACAAAAACTTAAAAAACAAAATCTTACCTATGAAATGTTCTGCCATTTTGCTTTATTTGCTCGTCACTACACCTGTACGCAGTGCAGAAGTCTAGCATATTCAGATTGGCTTTAGTCTTGACTAGTGCGGTTGAGTGACATTTGTGGGAGCACTATACAAATGTGGTGGCAGTATTTTGACGCATGCTTAGGGTCTGTATGCGATATCTAGTATATATTTCTGTGATGTTTTACCACCACATTGTTAGCAAGTTTTATAATGATGCTTGCACTTGGCTGGTCGCTATACTTTGGAAGCAATAGATTCTTTAGTGTGAAAGCTCTCAGACGAGATTGTTAAAATTTTGTCTCAAACAAAGCAGAATCCTAAACAGGATTTCAATTGACTGGCTTTGTCTGCTCACCAGAATTAAATAACTTTTAATGTGCTGAAAAGGAAAGATAATCAGCACTACAAATTAATATAAAGTGTATAATACTGAAGCGACACAAATCTAGAGCTAGAATGGAAACTATCAATAACCAAAGAATTGTAAATCAGCTTTGTGAGAAATTTTTAAATATATGTTTTGCTCTCACATACACTGAGAGTGCAGTGCTAGATTGATAGTGGTTGCATCATTGAACAAACACACCACTGCATCATTATCCACGTGTGTTTGTTTACAAATGTAGAAGTGTATGTTCTTTGACCTTAGATAACATAATAGAGAACATCCACTAGATGACATGCATTTATCTGTATATCTTAGATAGCATTTGTCTGTATTTCTCAATCCTGCCTCTGGAGGTGCCCAACCTAGTATATTTTATCTGTCCTCTGTGACACAAATCCTTTTTGATAAGAAGAAAATTGCAAAGTCTTTGACACAGAGTTAGTGAGACAGTGAGACAGCAATTAAAGGGCCACTTTGGGTTTATTTCAGTCAGCTGCAGTCATAATATCTTCAATTATATAACAAACATGCTAAAAAAGGTGCAAGGCAAGCAAATTATTTGATTTTTTTATTACTTGATTAATGCAGGACAACAATTGGTCTTATTAAAGGTTTCTTGGTTATATTGGAAATGAAGTGTTTTCTAAGTGGTTTGTATTTGTATTCAACTGGTTATACTAGCTCTTCAACTTTTTGATTTGGTTGCACTGTTAGTTTGAAAGATAAGACTCGACTATCAGGTTGTAAGCCCTACGTAAAAGTACATCTGAATGGATTGTTTTCCTCTGATCCAAAAATAAGTCCTCAAATTTGTAAACGCGTTGTTGAAAAATCTTACATTTCACATAGACAAAAGTCTTTTTCCTCAAAAATGTAAACAAATAAATTAAACCATTGTAGACGTGATGATGCAGAACATTTTTAATAATTATAGTGTAAAGCAAAATAAAAAAGAATTCATACTTTAATTAATAAAAAGTGGTTAGCACTGTCACCTCAGAGCTAGAAGGTTGCTGGAGTTTGCATGTTCTCCCCGTGTTTGTGTAGGTTTGCTCTGGGTGCTTCGCTTTCCCCCACAGTCCAAAGACATGCTATAGGTAAATTGGATGAACTAAATTGGCCATAGCATATGAGAAAGGTGCTAATAAAAATGTATGTATTTAACTAGAGTTTGCTTGTTTTAAAACATTATTTAAAATATGTGGTTAAAAAAAAAAAAAAAAATTTTACTTTAATTTTTTAACTAAATTGGGCAAGTTAAAAAAAATCCACTGGTAATTACAGAAAATTATTAGCATTTTTGCCCTGTGATGGTTGGAAATTTCATTGATAAGGGTCTTAAAACGGTCTTAAAAAGTTTTAATTTGACATGATGAAACCTGCAGAAACCCTGTTTTTTATATTTTTATCCAAGGTTATCAAACCATCAGAATCTTATACCGGCCCATGCCTATGTGTAGGTCTACTGTCAGTTAAGACTTGCAACCACATTTATGCTTTTTCCGAACTTGAAAATATAATTGACAGAATTGGGGAGATGCTGGATTAAGGTCGTTCAGGGGTCAAATCGAGATCACAATCTTTTTTCCGATGAATCGTTCAGCTCTAGCTCACAGCAGCCCGAGTTCAATTTCCAGCTCGATTTCTCTCTTCTCTGTTTGCTCCCAATGCTTTCCCGTCTTAACTTCACTGTCCTATCAATAAAGGTGAAAAGCCCCTAAAAAAAGATTAGGATTAAATCTATTTTCACAGAAGTGCACAGATACATCTTTTGAAAGATTTCTACTAAATTAAACATTTAAAATGAGAAGAGTAAATTTTGATGTCATGCTGACTTAAAATATGTTAATATCAGGATTGAAAGACTGTCGAAGGCTTCAGACTTATTTCATAACACACCACTGATGCAATGGTGTCTGCTGTATTCCAAAAATCTCTTCTGTTCAGAGACTTTAGGCTTTTAAAAAAAATGAAATATTGCATTATAGCTTGATCAAATTTAATGGTGCAACACTAAAATATGTGTTTGTCAAGACGGAGTTGCTTCACCACGGCCTGAACTGAGTCATTCAGATATAAAGAGATCTGAAATGTGCAGTTTCACAGGAGCGGAGCTGAGAAACACGCCTTTTAATTCTGATCAGATTCATTTACCCGAATTCAAAAGCAATACAGCATGTCAATAATCCAGAAGGTTAGATATTTCTGCAAGCGCCAGATTGCCAGAGTTCAAGCAGCATTGAGCAGATTTCTTGGCCACCGACAGACACCAGAGTAAGTCTAAACCAGCTGTGCCTTTGAGGTATTAACCACTATTTTTCCCACTGTGCTTTTTTTATAGCTCACCTGCTGTCATGCTTTCCAGAGCGATCGCTATGGCTGGGGTCACTGCGAACAAGATCAGTAAACACATCACCCTCCTGTCTGGGACTCCTACGGGTAACTTTTCACCTGGTCACCCAAAACCGGTATTGATTTTGCTGCCTTGGTTGGGCTCCAGACCTCAGGCCATTGCCAAATACTGTGAGATTTACTTTCGCACGGGTTTTGATGTGCTTGTTGTGGAAAGCGAGGTGAGCCAGTTTTTGTGGCCCCGCTGGGGTTTGGAATTTGGTGGCCATTTACTGGACTTGTTAGAGAGCGAGCGCTTCTCACAACGCCCCCTACTGGTCCATGCTTTCTCAATAGGGGGATATACATTTACTCAGGTTCTTGTTCATGTGGCCAAAGACACCCAGCGTTATCAGAGCCTGACAAACAGGATCAGGGGTCACATCTACGACAGCTTGGTCATAGGGTCACTGGAACATATGGCCATTGGTATGTACAGTGTTTATTTACAGTTTTCTTTCTGTGTGTGCTCAGAATGCTTGTGTATTATCTAAGTAATGTGCTGGAACTCTTAATTTTTAACTGTCAAATGTTAAAGCTGTAAAAAAAATACGTGTAGGGCTGTGTATTGGCAAGGGCGATACATGGGTCACGATACAATGAAGTCAGCAGACAAATAAAATTCCAATTCCAATTTATTTTCTATCCATTTCAATTCATTAGAACTGCACAGTGTTATCGAACAGAGAACTCACTGAACTGTATTAAATGCATATTGTTATTTAACACTGAACTAAATGAATATGCCACTAAAGTCACATATAAATTAAATAAACAATTTATTAAGCAAGTTAAAAAAAATTAAAACGCATCAAGTAAACTTAAAACTGGAACACAGTGCTCTAATATGCAGTAAACTAGGCTATTAGAAACTGACAGTGCGACTGACAGCATCGTGAACATTTTGCTGTGAAAACTGGTCGCACATAGATAAATTGATGGCTTGCACGAAACATTTTACATGCCACATGCTGGCCAGCTTTGCTGCCATGGTCATGTTTGACGCGTTGTCTGTTACAACGACAGGTAATTCCAATTGATGTCCCATTCTTCCTATGCAGTTTTCAGTAACTCTGCTATGTTAGTTAAGGCAAACAGAAGCTTGTTGATGATGTTATCCAGTGTAGTTTGCCTTGAATCAAGAGGTTTCAGTTGAGGCCACAGTGCTGCTAAGTCATCTGCGTCGTGTCTTGTTAAGTGATAACACAAGTTCGTAGTGTTTCCCAAATATTTTAAGATAGATTTGCAAAGCTTGCAAATGGCATTTTTTGTCTAATTCAGTACTCTGGTATAGTGTTAAAGCCATAGTGCAGCCACACGTCAGCTCTAAAAGCTGGAGGCTCCTTTATATTTTCCACTATGCTCACATTGCTTACTGCTGATACCATACTACTCAAGCCTGGTTTATACTTCTGCGTCAAGTGACCGGCGTAACCCACGGCGCATGCAACGTGCGTAGCTGTGCATTTATACTTCTGCGCGCTGTCTCTGTCTGGCGGACGTGCAACAACTTTAACTATAAGGTAAACACAAAACAAAACTTTCCATCCGGAGCTCCTTCACGGCACTCCACACTTGTAAACAATCACTCCATTAGGCTCGCACCTTTAACGCGGCTCTCGGCCCCGCCCAGACTCGTCAGCGCTACCAAGCCGACCAATCACAGAGCTTGCGCTACGCGTCGTTGTGATGTGTAGTTACATTTTTTGAGAGGTGCACGTCAGCTACGCCGACGTACATACTGTACATACGCCAGCGTTTGACGCAGAAGTATAAATCAGCCTTTAGCGTTTTGTTAATAGCGAGTTAGCGACATCTACTGGAGCAAAGGAGGAGGTTGTTTGGCACAACATGAGTTGATACTTCAGGTTGGACTATCGATACACTATCGTGAAATAAATTATCGATAGATAGATATATCGATAGTTAGATATTTCAATATTTTTGCACAGCCCTATGTTCAATACTTGTTTTCCCCACTATGTCTTGAAATGTTGACCTGATTAACTTTCATTTGAATTATTTTGATTGTTTCGTTTGTTGTTCAGGTCTTGGTAAAACCATGATGCCACGGATGGAAAGTCTGGTGAGGGCTGTTAGCCTTCTGTACTTCCGTGCGTTTAAACATCAGACGGTCGACTACTTCAACTCTGCGATCGATGTCTTCTGGAACACTCCTGTAAATGCACCGTCACTTTTCTTCTACTCTGAGAACGATGCACTGTGTGATTACAAGAGTTTGGAGAAGGTGGTGGAGCTCTGGAGAAGCCGAGGTTTGACTGTCGAGAGCAAGAAGTGGAAAGAGTCCATTCATGCAGGTCATCTGCGCACACATCCTCAGGAATACCTCTCCACCCTGGACAACTTTGTGCAGTCTCTCAATATAGTGCCATTGAAGGCCAAAATGTGACTGGTCATCTCCTGTTTCCTTAATCATCAGAAGTTATCTAAAGTGCCTGGTTTTATATAGACATTCTCATGTATTTGGCTTCAATCTGTTGACTACATCAAATCTGTTTTTTTTTTCTGCCAAAAAATATTCACAGCTAGTCCAGAAGAAGAGTGAAAAGAGTTTTTTTTCTCTCTGAGATCATGCTGCTGGAGGGATGGAAGACTGTGAAACACTGCAAACAATCTGTTGAGGATGTGAAGTACCCTTTACAATCTGCCTGACCAGTTTGGTTTATTGCACTACAGCTCCTTGGGTGCTCCAATGTTTTGTTATGTGTGTGTGTGGGTGTTTGTATGTGTGTATATATGAGATACATGATAAGCACTTAAAGCATTTACACATTTAAAATGTCTAGCAGATCTTTGGGTAATACAGTAGTAAATCATATTATATACACACACACACACACACACACACACACACACACACACACATACACACAAATACTTGAAATGATGTTTAATATCTAGTTTGTTCATCTGAATGCATTGTTTTCCTCAAAAGAACAACCACCCAAATGCTTGTTCAGGTTTTCAATGATGCATTTTTAATATAGTTTATATTCTTCACCAATCTGAATTAAATATTTAATATATTTTTCATGTTGTTAATATCACTGTTAAATCCTAACTGTAATGTTTTTAGCTAGAAGATATGGTGAATACAAGTTAGGTGAGACTCCTTTTGTATTACATATTTCTATGTTTTTGTTCTGTATAGTTTAATGGATATGATATTTTAAAATCCTATAGGGTACAGCATATGCCGAAGCATGCTAATAGGACTTTTAATTTGCCAGTAGCCTGGGTTAAGCGCTTCCGGTGAACTGTATGGCAATGCAAAATCGGCGCGTTTAAGGTCTTTTTTCTTTAAAAATCAGCGATCTCCACTGGCTGAGTGATATCTGAAATAAAGTGGGTCTCGGATTGTACAAGATTCATTGAATTACATTTTCCTCGCCATGTCTACAAAATGAGCATTTATTATACCCCACTATATTCAATGAAGCTTCTGCGCTAGCCTGCCGATCCTGACGGGCGCGTGCGAGTAAATGGCTTTTTGTGTCGTTTTACGCTTGAGCAACTAAATAAATGCCAAAGTCTGTTTAACTGATTGTATTGTAATTACATTACAACATCGATGCTGTAAAAGAAATCGTATAAAATGAAAAAAAAAACTCACAATAACAATTTTTGTTTGTTTTATTTTACTCTCGACAAGGGTCTGTACCATGAAGCTGGATTAACCGGCTAGCCAGTTAAGTTCAGCACCAGTCTTGGGCTTTAGGTATCATGAAGGCAGCTTGACTTTAATCACTCTATGTTGCCGAGCAGATGACCTGAGCTTAGTTCATGGCACCTTAAAACCAGAATGGGCTATATACACAGCTAGTGTTTTCAGCCAATTATGCACTATTGGTGAAAGCTTAATGTGACTTTTAAGGTTCCTTTAACAGCATTGATGCTTTGATGTAATTCAAATATAATCAGTTAAATAGACTTAGGCATTCATTTGGTTGTTAAAGCGTAAAAAGAGACCTAAGATAGTTTAAACTCCATTGAAACTACCGGGGTAAAATAAATTTCCATATTTTGAAGACATGGCGCGGTGAAACATAATTTAATGCAGTGCTTCTTGTTTGGTCTAAAACCCACTTTATATCGTATCTCAGCCAGGCAGTGAAATAGGATGTTTTTTTTTTTTTTTTTTTTTTTTTTTTAGAAAATCAGATCTTAAACGCAGCGATTTTGTATGGGATGAAAATGAACTAAAAGCCCTTGGGCTGGCTGATTGAAATTAAAAGTCCAAGTGCATATACCTCATTGGTGGCTAGCTAACCTGACTTCATAGTAAAGGCCCCAGGTTTTTGTCATAATTGCAACATAATAAAATGACAATTATAAAATAAGTATAATCCAACGGCTCTTAGGTCTTCTCTACTTAAGCCATTTGACATTTTAAATTTCAAAACAGAGACATGATCAAATGACATAATATTGTGCTTTATTTGTTTATGCAATAATGAACATTTTCTATGACTGGAAAAATGTTAATATAAGGTGAAACTAAAAGTACAATATGATAAAATTTGAATTAAATTACTTGATTTTTCAATGGTGCTTGAAGATTCAAAAACTGAATCCTTATTGAGCTGTAGTTGAAGACATTTTAGGCTAATTCTGTAATCGTTTAAAATGGTTACATTGTCTTAAACAATCATTTTACAATGATTTTTATTAACAAAACAAAGTGAAATTGAACTTGGTAAATTGATTTTAAATCATTATGATCCAGTAATCTCAAATGCCTCATGACAATGCTTTTCTAATAGTCACTTCTCACTGTCTGAACAATTACTTGTACTTGAATATTAAAATTGAAAACATGGGGAAACACATATATTTGTAGCTGACTTTGTAAGAGAAGAAAAACAACAACAACGCTGTACACTTTATATCTCTGGAGAAGGGTGAAGCCAAAATTTCCTGGGTTTTTGCGGACATATTGCGCGGATGACGTCATTTGGAGCCTGAGTTAGTGATCATGAGCTGGAGCATGGCCATCTAAATTCGGCTGAATCCTATATTAATATAGCCTAATCATGTATATAACTTAAAACAAATAGATACAGATACTTGAACTTAATGATAACGATAATAAACAAACTACGAAACCATCTTTAAGATTGCTTGAAGTAGCATTATGCAGAGCGCTTTATTTAACGACCTACAGCCACCAGGGGGCAATCGAAATAATTAGTTTCAGAACACTTCTAGCTGCATTTTAATCATTTGAGTTCGGGATAAACTATTAATTCCATTGTTAATGAAATAATGTTAGCTTAGCAGTTAGCTTTCTTTAATATAACTTCTTGACCGTGACAGTTTTCATGCGTTTCTGTAGATTATAAAATAAACACTGTAAAAATACCCCCTTTGTGCTTGTGAGAGCTGTGTTTCGGCCAGAGGCATGAGTGTTGCTTTACGCATGTGGAGGAATGAGAAAGTCCTTTCAGAGATGATCATGAGTGCAGGAGGCGTTGATGATCCGCTCCTCATGACCAAAACCCCTCTCAGACCATTGAGGTAAAGCTGGTTTTATATTCGCACATTCGTTCGGTGACAGCTTGTGACACACTCCCTTTATCGTTTACCATGGTACTTTATATGTTGGGTCGGAAATCTCACTTGGAAAACAACAGCGCTATTTAATAATTAACCGTTTACAGTGTTATAGCTACTTTGATAGTCGTTGGCTGCTAATATGAGTTCACCTTTTAAAAATATATATTATTAAGGATAAAGTCTGAATGTGTGAAATATAAAACCAACTTTACCTTAATCCAGAAACATGGATGATTTCAGGACGCGCTCCAGTGGGACACACAACACGCTGCTCGGAGAGACTTTCACACGGGTGAGAGCAGAATTTAAAAGTCCTTTTTGGTTTTATTACAACGTCTGTGATTATATTTAAGATATAATTTTGTTTACATTTTCTAGTGCTTTAAATATCGGCTAAAGGTTCCAGATAAATACACTTGAAGTCAGATATTTTCCCCATCTTCTGTTAAGACGTTTTTTTCAACACATTTCTAAACATATTAGTTTTAATAACTCATTTATTTTATCTTTGCCATGATGACAGCACATTATATTATACTAGATGTTTTTCAAGATATGTGTAGCTTAAAGTGACATTTAAAAGCTTATAGTTAACTTTGCAAGTTAGGGTTTATTAGGGAAGTCATTGCATAATGATGGTTTGTTTTTTAGACAATAAAAATATTGCTTAAGGTGCTAATAATATTGACCTTAAAATGGTTTTAAAAAATTGAAAACTACTTTTATTCTTGCCGAAATAAAACAAATAGGACGTTTTCCTGAAGAATTTTTTTTATAGGAATTATTGGGAAAAATTCCTTGATCTGTTAAACATCATTTATGAAATATTTTAAAAAGAATGAAAAACACAGGAGGGCTAACAGTTTTGACCTCAACTGTATTTAATGGAGCAAACTTTTTATTTATTTTATTTTTTAAGAAAAGTAATGTAGCATGTAAGTTTGGAAATATGGATAGTTTGAATGAAATAAAATTGTCTTAAATGTTTTTATTCTCTTTCAGCAAACAATTGCTAACCTGGCAATTGGTGGACTCACATCTTTGTTGGTCCTTGTGAGTATCTACTATTCACCACATTCAAATTTTGGCTTGACGTATAAAGGAGGATGTTGCATAGACGTTTGTTGTTCAGGACTAAAGACAAAAATGAGTTTTCAAGCATCAAATAAAACACAGCTTTATAATGTGCTCCCTATATATTTGCTTTTTTACTAAGCCTAATATATATAAATTTTTAATTTGTTTTATTTTACTATGATTTACTGAGGATATCAAACAAAATGTCATTCAGTGTAGTGTATTTTATGTACCTCAAAAAACAACAGGCAATCATTTGAAGACAAGTAAAAAATATTTAAGTGATCACAGTGCAACCTCAAAATACTAAATCATTATGTAATATCATTTATTCATTTTAAATAGGTATACAGTACTTTGCTGCTACTTTCTAATAATTATATCCATTTGTCAGCAATCATATTTTTAATAAAATATAGTAGCCTAATAATATGATCATTGTTTATTTTAATCATTCTAATAGTGCAGAGTAAGTTTTATTTTGACAAAGCCCTAACATAATAAATAAGCTTTGTAATTTTTATAAATATATATAAAATATAGTTTTATATAAAATATAAACCAATGTAAAATCACAAAAAGAAAAAACTTATTCCATTTGAATAAAGGAAGCAATTTGAGCACAGTAAAATCCAATAAATGAAGAGAACTCAAATCAACTGAGTACTGTAAAACCCAATAAGTTAAGGCAACTCAAACTGTTTGAGAAAACCAATTGCAACAAACCATGGGTTCAAAAAGTAATCTATACGAGTATGGTGAACTTACTCCATTTAAGTTGAAGTAATGAGTAGGCCCACCCGGAATCTGGGCGCGCAGAATTCCGCAGATTTTCTGCAGATTTTTAGCCCATAATTAATTCTGTTTATTTACTTGAGTAAATGTGTGTAAATCTATATTTATTCAGTTTTTTAATTAATTTCAGTAATATTATTGACTAATGTGAAAATGTTCATCTGATTTATGTACAATGCAGTTTGTACAGTAATATTTCTGACTATATTTGTTATATATTTTCTAATATATAACAAACTTGCTTTATTTACCAAATTAAGTGAATCTAATTGGATATGCATTTTAAACATTAAATAAAAGTTAAAAAGATATTATTTTTATTTCATATATTAAGGGTTTAGTTATGATACTCCCAAAATAATTCCGCAGAAATCTGCAGACTTTTTCAAAAATTCTCAGCAGAAATAACAAAAAACATCCGCAAATTCTGTCTGACCCTATGAGGTGTTTAATTAACTCATTACCTTCAACACTGATTTCAAAACTCTTTTCAAATGAGTTGAATTAACTTTTAGTCAATTTTGAGTTATCTACTCTCATTTCATTTGATAAAGTTGACTGTTGGGTTTTACGGTGTATTTAAAACATGACTTTACTATTACTAAAAATCCAAATTGATGAAAGTTGTACCTGAAATCAGAATAGATTTTTAAAATAAACATATTTCCTTTACAGGTAACTGTCATCAGTTCGTTCGTCTTTCCTACACCTCCTCCAATAGCTTTAAACATCTTCTTTGTGGTCTGCATCATAATGATCTGCTCCTCTGTATTGGTGCTGGTTAGTTCTCCTATTTACGTCTGTGTCGTTCATGAAAAACTGTTGTTGATCTGATCAGAAAAGATGGCTTCTCTGTTTGTTGCAGATATTCTGGTATCGTCAAGGTGACCTGGATCCAAAGTTCCGTGGTCTGATTTATTATTCCACAGGTCTCGTTGTCCTTCTCTGTTTATGTGCCAATCTGTACTTCCATGATGTCGGCAGATAAAATTATTCCAGCAGACCACTTTAAATAAGCAAATCTCACAAGAATAAAATGATTTTACAAATGTTTTGTTTGTTCAAATCTTTTAGTTTTTTTCATTGATATTTAGACGATGTACATTTGTCATTGTTGTAATTTTCTAAATATCAATGTTTATGTGCTAAATACTTTTTGTGCATTATTTTTTGACATGCAAATGTAGCCTATTTCAATGTTTGGTTGTATTAAATTATATTGTGAGTTTTGTTCTATGAACAATGCTGGTGCCAAATATCTAAATCCTGTTAATAAATAAAATCTATGTGAAACTGAAGTTCTGTTTAATGAGGGCTATTTGTGACTATTGTGATGGGCCTGAGTTTGCAAATGAGTTTTTAAGAATTAAAATAAATAAGAAAAAACATTGACCAATTAAACCAAATTTGCAATAGTCTGATTTATACATGCCTTGTGACCGAATGATTCACAAATAATTTTTGTTAATGAATATCTAAGTAAAAGCGAACATTTATGTGCTGAAATTAGACATTGATTTTAAGTTTTCACCATACAAGCTTAGCATTTTTATGCTGATATTATTAGATTTTAAGTTTCCACTTCATTTTATAATTAATTTTGAATATTTAATTTTAGGTTGATATCATATGTTTATTTCTTATGGCATATATGTTTATGTAAATAATATGCATACTATTCATTTAAGGGATAGAAAGTATTTAGCATATTCATAATTGTTACGTTTTGTAATAATTACATTTTGATTTTCTTTTATGTGATTGTAGCATTTTTATATAAAATAGGCTTATATCATATGTTCATTTCTTATGGCAAATATTTTAATGGGAATAATATGCATAATATTGAAGTATAGAAATAATTTAGGATAATTATCATTTTTAAGTTTTGAAATATATACATTTTAAGATTTCACTGTGAGTTTTAGCTTTTTACATAGAAATTGTTTAATTTTAGATTTATATGATGTTAATTTCCTATGGAATATAATATTTCAGGATTAGAAAGAATTTAGGATATTTATTATTTTTTAAGGTTTGAAATGATTACATTTTTAAGTTCCCATTTTGGGATTGCAGCACTTTTATATGAAATTGTTTAATTTTAGCTTTATATCATATGTTTATTTCCTATGTTTTGTATATTTTAATGGAAACGATATGCATAATATTTATTTAAGGATTAGAAAGGATTTAGGATATTAATCATTATTAAGCTTTAAATTAATTACAATTTAAGTTTCCAATGTGATTTTAGCCTTTTAAATAGAAATGATTTAATTTGAGGTTTATATTATGTTTATTTCTCAAGGCAAATAATATTTATTTAAGGTTTGGAAAGAATGTAAGATATTAATATATTTTACGTTTTGCAATAATTATTGTAATTGTAAAAGTTTTGAAATAATTACATTTTAAGTTTCCACTTTGTAACGCCAGCACTTTTTTATGGAATGATTTAATTTTAGCTTAATATCATATGTTTATATCTTATGGCATTTCATGTAATGGAAACAATGCATAATATTTATTTGGGGGTTAGAAAGAATGTAGCATATTAATTATTTTTAAGTTTTAAAATAAACACTTCAAGTTTTCACTATGTGATTAAAATTACATGTTAAGTTTTCACTGTGATTTTAGTTTTTTTTTTAAATTGAAATTGTTTAATTTTAGGTTTATGTCATATGTTTATTTCTCATGGCATATTTTTTTGGGAATATGCATAATATTTATTAAATGATTTGAAAGATTTTAGGATATTATTTAATTATTAACAATTAATTATTGATATTCCTTCATATTTCTCTGTAACGACTGACATCTAGTGGTGTGTAGATGATTAACATTTGCAACCCGTTTCTATCTTTTTAAGTGAATGCAAAAGCAATATCCTGTAATTGTTTTGTGCTACACTAATTTATCATGATATATTATTACTGTGCATATCAGTGCGTTTGAGTCATGCAATTTATTTAATGATCACCCACTTAAAGTAAGCTATTAAATCTGCTGAAGATATGAAGGCTTTTATTGTTATGCTACTCCTTTGGTCATGTTTTGGGTAAAACAGCTGTGACGTAATTTCTAAGCCTTCAAACAGGCTCCGTCAGATGACGTTCCGTGTTGACGTCGCTCTCTGATTTGATGGGACGGTCCCGTTAATCCGTTCGGCAAGCAATGGAGCGCACGAGGAGCATCATCGTCCGCCACAGAGAGCGTTTTATACGTAATTGTTTAGGATGGATATTTTGGGTTTTCATCCTGAACGCGTTCGTGGCGTCTTCGGTTAACCTGCGTCAGTGTAAAGAGGTGAGAGATCATTCCTGCTGCTGCGTTTATTGTTGACGTTCATTGTGTTTGATTCACTCATGCAGTTTGTATAACTGTTTTAGCACACGTTTCTGTGTTTAAAGGGTCTGAGTTGTTTGACATGCGTTTATTTGTACTTTTGGGGTCAATCTGGTTGTTGACACGTGCTGACACTCATAATTTCCAAAGTAACAGGTGCGCCAGGTGATCACTTAACCATAGAGGGTCAAACTATGAATTGAGGAAAATTTGGTTTTATATTCGCACATTTGGACTTTTTCCTTCATAATATAATTTCAGAAAACTATTCTAAATGGTCAAATCTTATTATCAGCCAATGACTATCAAAGTACAACAGTCAATTAATTGTGCTAATGTTTTGAAGTCGTACTTATACTATTTTAGACCCAATATTCAGAATAGCGTGTAAAATATAGCGAGCGTGTCACAAGTTGTCTAAAATGAACTAATGTCCGAATATAAAACCAACTTCACCTCAATAAGCTATGATCCAATAATTAATGTTTGCCATACATGGAATTTAATTAAACAAAATGTAGTTTATAGTGAAAAAATGTTATTTAGATTTACATTTTGGGTTTGACATTTAATATTATGTAAAAACATTTTACAGTGACGTTTTTGGTTTATTTAATAGTATGTAAAAATGTGAAGAACTTAATTTTAGGTATTTCTTTTGAGAAAATGGTTCTTTGAGTAACAAAAAAGGTTCTTATATGAAATCACAAACACCTTTTGAGTATATTTTAAGAGTACATCAAGAAGTTTACCATTTAATTCTACAAAGATACAGCGAAAATGGTACTTTAGATTGACATTTTGGTTTTGACATTTAATTCTAGGCTATGTAAAACATTTTATATGACATTTTTGGTTAATTTAAAAGTATGTACAACTTTATTGAAGAGCCTATTTTTAGATTTATTATTATTATTTTTTTTAAGAAAATAGTTCTTCGAGGAACAAAAAAGTTTCTTATAAAACCACTTACTTTAAAAAATATATTTTAAGAGAAAATTGAGTTTACAAGTTTACAATTTAATTCTACAAAAGGTAGTTTACATAGAAAATGGTTCTTTAGGTTGACCTGCTGGTTTTGAAATCAAATGGTGTGTAAAAAATATAATGGGTTTTTTGCTTTATTTAAAAGTAAGTAAAAATGGTTCTTGTATGAAATCACTAACACTTTTTTAAATTATATTTTTAAGAGAGCATCGAGAAGTTTACAATTTATTTCTACAAAAACTACTTTACTGTGGTAAATGGTTCTTTAGATTATGACCTTTTAGTTCTAGTAGTTAAAAAATGTTTTTATTGAAGAATTTATATATATATATATATATATATATATATATATATATATATATATATATATATATATATATATAAAAACTTATATACCCAAAATACTTTTTATTTGAAACCACTGACACCTTTAAAAACATATTATAAGAGTGTACCAATAAGTTGCTGTTTTTAAAAAAAAAAATTATTATTAGATTAAATATTTTACTTTTAGCAAAATAAAAAGGTTTCATTTAAATGAAAAATATATATTGTATGAATTGGATGGAAACCCTGCCTTCAATTAAATTAAGTTAGTTTTTTTTCTTGTATGTGTCTGAATTAAGAAGAATTCTTTAATAGGAATATTAATATATTCAGTTGCTATTTGTGTACTGTATCCCTTTGTCATTTAAAACGAAATCTCTCTGGAGAACTTCTAAACATCTTTTGATAAAAGACGGTACTGCAAGAGTCTTCTCAAAGAGTTTAAATCATAGTCACTTTTGGATATATGGAGCTTATCGCTGAAGATTAGATTTTCATAAATCAATGTATCCAAATCTATGTTGTGTAGAGGATAAATGACCTAAATGAAACTGTTTCAAACTGTTTTAGAGTCACAAACATGTTAAGATTTTAATAAGAAAAACAATACTTGTATTAAATATCCATGTTCACATTTTTGCATGATGTATCAAATTAATGGCCTTCTGGTACATCACATCTCATGGTGAATGATTTATTATTATTTTAATAGCAGATGAGTTATTATTGATTTGATAATATTTATGTTTTGTTAGATTTTAATTTAAACTTTTTCTGCTAAACATGTCTTGGTATACGTGTATTGTCATTGCTATACCCCATTATTCAGGCCCCCAGCAGTTTTAAATACAAGTCTATTCTTTTGTGTTTGATTGTAACATGTTTTTCCAAGCTCTCCAACTTGCATATTGATTTAGCAGCTGATATGCTTTTTGTCTGGGTATATTGATTGGTGTCAGATTGCTGTTGGGCATCCCATTTAAAATATGCATTTCTCATCTCTTAAATAGTGTGCCAGAATCCACCCAGGGTGTGTGTTTAATCTCTAATGCTATGCTAAGGGCTCAACGAGGTTCCAGTGGAGTGCTGAGTGGCGCTTTTCTCAGAGATGGTGAGCCCTGCATGCCCATCTCAAGAGCCTGGTGATATGATGCTAAGAATAGCCGCTCTGAAATGGCTTTCACCGAGCGCTCAGCACCTCCTCTGGACTTTGTGCATGGAAAAACTGTGACTGTGAAATCATTGTGTGTCCCATAAAGCAAAAGATTGACTACAGTGTCTGTCTATTGCAGAATTGGATCTATTTGGCTCAGGAATATATAAAAAATGAGATGACCGTTCTTTCAAAGGTGGTTCAAAATGGCATGGGAATAAAAAAACAAGTCAATTATAAAATGCTAACAAGCCGAAATATATTAATATGAGTTTCTTAATAGGTTTTAGGAAATTACATACAGTACATCTACGTTTTGTGTTTACTGTGCACATTTGATTTCTCATTAGACAAGATTTGACAGTCTTAAAATATTGAATATTTGTGATCGACTAATTGTGGTCAAGTTAAATAGCAATGGATTTACTACATGCTTTGACTAGGGTTTTGTGTTGTAATGCGTGTTAAATCTGAGTCTAGTTCTTGTTTTATTCTGTGTCTTTGCCCTGCCGTACAGTGTGTTGACCCGCAGGGCATTCTGGGTTTTATTATCAGCTTCCTCCTGATGGCTTTCTTTCCTTCCCGATCACTCAGTCTGTGCTGGAGGAGCTGCAGTAAAGAAATTACTGAACAGTTTTCTGGCCAAACATTACAGGAAAATTCAACATGATTTCAGCAAAATCAATAAATCTGCAATAATTTGCAGCTTATTGTAGTCATTGAAGATGTACTGTATTTGTGTACAATTTATTTGTGTATTTAATTGTTTCACATTAAAGGAACATTTGTTGTTGTTGTTGTTGTAGTTGAAAATATTAGGTTGAACCCTCTTTTGCCTTCAGAACTGGCTTAATTCATTGTGGTATATCATCATGTAGTTGATGCAGATTTGTCGGCTGCACATTCATGATGCGAATCTCCCAATCCACTACATCCCGAAGGTGCTCTATTGATTTGAGATCTGGTGACTGTGGAGGCCATATTCATTTAAGTATAGTGAACTCAATAGTCATGTTCAAGAAACCAGTATGAGATGATTCACGCTTTATGACATGGCGTGTTATCCTGCTGGAAGTAGCTATCAGAAGAGGGGTACACTGTGGTCATAAAGGGATGGACATGGTCCGCAACAATACTCGGGTAGGCTGTTTCATTGACACAATGCTCAATTGATACTAATGGACCCAAAGTGTCTCACACCATTACGCCAAGCATCCAAGCATCAGTTAGTCATCCATTTAATGATTAGCTAGCATCTTACAAGCATTTATAATTCTTGTTCACAATAATAAAGAAAATTAAAGATTTAATATTATAGAATAATGTACAATACCAGTAGGGTGCAATAAGCTTGCAACTCGCCGTTAAACACAACAAGAAAGAAGAGAGGTGGCATGCTTTTTTGGCATCTGTTTCCATTGTGACTCATGGTTTCTTCTTTTATTGAGAGGGTCTAATGTGTTCAGGGTTAATGTACTGCGAGTTGACTGAACTTAATCCCAGGGGCAGTTCTGGAACTGACGTACCTTGAGTAAGCAGATTTAGGGTTAATCAACCTTAAGGTTTAGCAGATGGTACTGTAAGTTAACTTTGCATTCTGGAATGTAGCACCCAAGAAATTAACATTTTCTTTTTGTTTGGCTACGAGAAGTGCATGAATGTGAAAGACAACAGACAACATCCTATAGTTTGCATTTAAAAGTGTACTGAGGCCGACGTTTGGAGAGGAAAGGGTGCGGCGGCAGCAGACTGAGGACAGATGACTGACTGACTCATGTATTATTAGAGTTCTGTTACGACTTGTTTTACTGTTCTCGGCAATAAAGCCTCACAATACTCAAATGTCCATGTGTTTTACATTTCTTACAGTCAAACTTCACACATCCACACCCACTAAGAATCCGCAGGGGCCTTGTTAAATTTAGATGCATTGCTTGTTTTTGCAGACGGACTACTACTTTCAGTACACCGAGTGTGACAGCACTGGCTCCAGGTGGAGGGTGGCCATTCCTCTCAATCCAGGAGAATGTACAGGATTACCAGACCCTGTGAAGGGCACCGACTGCAGTAGGTTCACACAGTGTGCTTGTTATTACTAATTTAGGTTTAAAGATCCTGTGAAATCATAATATATATTTACTGATGTTATTATCAGCATGCTAAAGCAAAAGTTCTTTGTTTAAAGGGATGGTCCACTACGATACCATATTTTAAACTTTAGTTGATGTGTAATGTAGCTGTGTGAACCAAACATCTCTGAATGTTAGACACTCAAAGTTCAATGCAAGGAGAGACATTGGCTTTTATGGAGTTAGCTTAGCAAAGCCTACAGCAAACAAAGTTTAGGAACTACACAAAAATACATTCGGGTTAATGAGATAACAAGGGCTACAGGTTAAATGCATTCACTACGTGCACACACCCCGCGCAGCAAAGGGACGTTGCCAGAGGCGCTGTAATGCTCATAGATAGCTAAAATGGCGTCCAAATGCTGCTTTTCCACAGAGCTTGTTCTGTTTCTGTATTTAGGCTTCCAAAGGGCATGACACAAAGAGAGAAGTGCTTACAGTTTAATTTTACAGTTCAGAGAATTATAAAAATATAGCTAGCATTTGACAAAGGACAGCTTCCAGAATCTCTCCCAGTTCAGTGCTGGATTTGGCTAAAAACTCTTCAAAGGAGCAGCTCCAGCCATAATAGACAAAGCTGTGTGATCCACAAATCACAGCACAGTATGATAGCTGACCAATCAGAGCCTCTTGAGGGCGGGCCTTTCGGAGGAACCAGGAAATATGACTCATTTTCATGTTAGCTGAGTAAATGTATATAATCAGATAAGTAAATTATATAAAAAAAAAATAACGTAATTTTTTTTTTTTTTTTTTTTTTTACAAATGAAGCATTAGCACACATTGCTTAGCATGAAATTGCTTAGCATTAAAGATGCACTCTGGATCATCCCTTTAAGGGAAAAATAAGTTAGAAAAAATTGAGTGATGGTATACTGTTTCTGAACATTCTGACAGCCCGCACTGCAGTAGGCAGGGTTTTAAATGTGCTGTCCTGCTTTAGTGTACTGCTAAACACAACAATGATGGCTGTTTCATAAACATCTGGCAAACAGCCTTCCATGCGAGAAGCGCCACATTGCTTTATATATGCTGTGGACAGACACCAAATGTTTAGAACTTTATTAGATGTGGTGTGACGAGATTGTGGTTCTCGTCGGGTGTGTGAAGGCCTCTGAGTCTTTCCGCGAGCAATCATAAAGATCCAAATACTTTACATCTGTACCAGCTCTGCTACTCAAACCATGCCTTTTCATGTTGGTAACATGGTGTTGTTGTGCTGGAGGTTTTTTTCCTGTCTCCTGATCACCTCATACTTCAGTTTCTAAATAAATCTTCTGACCAATCAAATGCTTTCTAGTATCTAACATGCCCCGCCCCTTGAAGACGCTTTGAATTTGATGCGCTTGATTAGATGCGCAGAGCAGTGATAAAAACAAACTGCTATTGGCTGTTTTTAAAAAGGGGAGGGGCTACAACATGACCTGCCCTGTCTTCATGTTGTAGTTAAGATTGTCAAACGTTACATAAAAAAAATGCACATTTTAAAGCACTTCATGGGACGTTTAAGTTTAGTGTAAATAGGAAAGAAGTTTTGGGATGAACTGTCATGTGTGGTGATGTGGATGTTCATGCACTAATATGAATCGGTGCATTTTTAAATGGCAAGTGTGTGTATTTGAACAGCATACTTTACGCTCCTTATCAGCACAGTGGAATTTCCTCTTCGACAGAACATGTGCAATGGCCTCTTACTAACCGTTCCCAACCTTACATAGTTCTCAGCAGCTAAAGGAAATCTGAAATCAAAATGGGTGCTGTTTTTCATTATAGGTCAGGACATTAATACATGCATATCATACATATCAATTATCTGCCTCTTCAGCCAGGAAAATGATATTTGCAAATAAAATAGATCCATTAACTATGTCTGAATGTTATTTTGGGAAATGGTTTCAGCATGAAAACGAAAAGCTTGGTAAATGTTGTTTAAAACAATTTTTGTATTCCAGAATGACTACAATTATTATTGTTGGTTGATCAACTTGACTCAGACTGGAATCATATACAATTACTTATCACCTGTTTTCAGGATGAATATTATGTTCTACCTGTCTACCTACAGTATATACTGTAACTTAAGCTAGCATGGAATTACAAGTTTTTTTTTTTTTAAATAATCAAAGATACTGGCATAAGCAAACATATTTATTTAACTAGCCTAAGCCAAATAACTTGGCATGGCATAAAAAACTTGATTTTATTTAATTTTAAATAGCCAAAGCTGGCATGTTGGTGTTAAAGTTACTTAATAATTGGCATGGTGGTGTTAATTTTTTTTTCTTTTTTTGTATTATTTTTTTGTAAGTTGTAAAAGAAGCTGGCATGATGGTATTACACAACCAACTTGTTTTTATTTATTTAAATAGAAAAAGTCGCATGATGGTGTTTTAAAAGCAACTATTTATTTATGAAATCTTTAAAATCTGACAGCATATAAAAATCAAATGCATATATTTAAGGTGTACATCAGTGGCCTGGATATGAGATAATTGTATTGGCAAACATATTTCATGTTATCTGTATCTATTATGGATGTGTGGATTTGTGAAGGATCTGATCAGTGTAATTTTCTAATGGCATTTGACTGAACTGTCATTCAGCATTCTCCTGCAAGGCGGGGGAGTTTCTGGAGATGTCTGCTCAGGAGTGCACTCAGTGTGCTGCTGGCACTTATTCTCTGGGCAGCGGCCTACGCTTTGATGAGTGGGATGACATTCCTTCTGGATTCAGCAGTCTAGCCACCAACCCTGATAACTCAGCCAATGAAGACAACTCAACCTCCTGCAGCAGGTGGATATGTTTGTCTGTCTGCCTGTCTGTCTGTCTGTCTGTATAAATTTATCTTGTTGGTTGATTAGTAACACTGGTTGATTACTTATTAGTTGGTTAGTTCAGCTAGCTAATTTAGGCTGAAGTTGTTTAGTTGGTAGTGGTTAAGATGGTTGGTAGGTTAAGGGGGTTTGTAAATTAGTCGATTAGCTAGTTCATCTAATCAGTTTGCTAGTTAGGCTGATTAGTTAGACTAGTTAGTGTGCGTTGTTAGTTAAGTCGGGTTAAATGATTTGGATGGTTAAGTTAGCTGGTTGGTTGGTTAAGTTAGTTGGTTAGTTAAATTAATTAGAGAGTTAAGTTGGTTCATTGGTTAAGCTAGTCAGTTTGTTGTACTCCAAAAAAAAAATGCTGCTTGTACAAACTACTGATTTAAAATGAGCCGAAACAACACAATTCTTGAGATTATTAACCTAATTGTTTTATGTTTAATCTACTTTAACTTTATCAATCTGTGGTGGGATAACATGAAGTGTGTCAAACCCTTTTTTGTTTTATAGTTTAGTTAAGTTGAATAGTTACGTTAGTTTGTAAGTTTAGTTGGTTAGTTAAATTTTGTGAAATAATTTGAGTCAGGTTAGCTGGTAGGTTGGTTAGTAATGTTAGTTCAGTGGTTGGTTAAATTAGTTGGATAGTTTAGTTAGCTGGATAGTTACTTTAGCTGGATGTTTAGTTTAGTCAGTTAGTTAAATTAGTTGGATAGTTAAGATTCCTGTTGCCTGTACCATAAAGCCAGATTAGCTGGCTAGCCAGTTATGTTTCAGTTTAGTTTGCACAAATTCTGTGTTTCATGTATTGTAGTATAGCTCAGATCAGCTGCTCAATAACATCATGGCAACAAAGATTGATTAAAGTCAAACTACCTTCATGTTACCTAAAACCCAAGACTGATGCAAGCTAAACTGCAGTTTAACTGGCTTGCCAGCTTATCCAGTTTCATGGAACAGGCCCCTGGTTTGTTAATTGGTTGGTTGATTTAAGCTGAGGTCAAACTAGAGTTTGAGCTTGCAAAATTCTGTAGTACGGTGCTGCGAGAAGGGGTGGAATTAAACAAGGTGATTAGACATTTTAAAAATTGGTCCATATGTTAAAATTCTGTCCAGAGAGGTCATGTGTTGATCCTTGGTTAGTCCAATGCAGTTAAGTGATGCGATTTCGCAGGTCAAAGTTCACCATGCATGAACTTTGTAACGCAGCGAATTCTGAAATTAACGCATGAGCTTGCATTTTTGATCTGGCGCATTTGCGTGCGTATGAATAGAAGTCTATGGGGACAAAAGTTGGATGGTTGAATTGGCCGTGTGATTAGTTCAATTGGCTAGTTAAGATTTCTACTTGGTTAATTAGTTGGCTAGTTCAGTTGGTTAGTTGAATTAGTGGCATATTTAAGTTAGCTCTTTGTTGAGTTGGTTAGTTGAATAATTGTATAGTTAGGATAACTCGTTGACTTATTGGCTGGTTAAGTTTGTTAGTTCAATTGATTAGTTAAATTAGTTGGAGTGTTCGTTTGCTGGTTGGTTGGTTAATTGGTTATAAAGTAAATAGTTAAGTTTGTTACTTGAATTAATTTACATTTTTCAAACAAATTGCTTTGCTTGAATTGTTTAACAAGGTTTGGCTCTTTTGGGCAACACCAAATAGAGTAATACTACAATCATAAAGAACACATCTGATTAAGTTTGACATAGCCTATGAGATATGTCTGAAATGACCATTCCCTTTTAAGTTCTCATTTTTAATTGTATGATTGATCAGTTAATTGGTTAGTTATTTTGTTGAGAATGTTAGTTGGTTTTAATTAATTGGTTAGTTATGTTGCCAAATTCTTCAACACTTATTGATGAAACTGCATTTAAAACAGTGTGAAATTCTAAATACTAAAGTAATCCTAAAGTCATATAGGACAATGTTGATGATATCAGAATTACATTTATTTAAAGGCAGTCAGAAATGTGTGAAATGTCTTGAATTCAAGTCCCCCCCCCCCCTCAAAGTATTTGCAACAAACACTGTATTTTACCCTATGCCTTTATTTATTTAATATCAAATCAGCACACATTCAGATTAAATGACACATGCACTTCTAGGGATATGAAACAATAGAAGTATTAAAGCGATCATTTATTTTTATCCTGTTATGCAATTCAAAGCTCAGTCACCACTGTTTTTTATGTGTCTTGTGTATTTGTGTGCTTTTAGTGCAAAGTGGGCTGCTCAGGGCTCATATCTGGAATCCAACAGGGATGAGTGTACAGTTTCTCTGATCTACACTGTACACTTGAAGAAGCCGGGCTCAGTGTCCTTTGACTACCAGTATGTGGATAACAGCATCTTCTTTGAGTTCTTTGTAAGTTTGGATCTCATTATGCCTTTGATGTTTTTTAGTGCGGAAGCTATTTTAAGGCATTAAATGCTACATCAGTGTTGTGTACTTTAAAGGGGACCTGTTATACCTCTTTTTACACAATCTAAAATAAGTCTCTGATGTCCCTAGAGTGCGTATGTGACGTTTCAGCTCAAAATATTACCTGTATAATGTTTTATAACTCTTTAAAACCGCCTATTTTAGGCTTTGATCCTAATTGTGCCATTTTGGGGGCCGTCGCTTTAAATTCAAATAAAATTGTGCTCTTTTTCAAAAGAGGGCGGAGTTACAAATGCCTGTGTGTCAGCATAGTGGCAAATTCAAAAACAAGCTTAATTTACTATGCTAATGAGGGAGAGATCTTCACTAATAGGCGGGGCTTTCTTCCTCTGATGACACATACAACGGGTGATATCAATCAAAGTGTTTCTGCGGTGTGATTTAAAAAAAAAAATGAAATGAATACATTTTTACCATTAGAAGCTGGTTATATTCACAGATTGTGGCCACACAACTGTTTAAACTCCTTATGAAAGGGATTTTTTTCTTCACTTCCCTATTTTTCTTCACTCTCCCATCAGTGAAGTTTTTTTTTCCCTCTCCACTGTCGCCACTGGCTTGCATGGTTCAGGATCGGTAGAGCTGCGCATCGATGAATTTGCTCTTCCGTGTTTGGACTCTCAGTAATGATTTTAAATTACACTGAACTGAGCTAAACTGAACTGAACTTAAACACTAAAAACTGAACCACCCTAATCCAGTTACTATTTTTTTTTTATTTTATTTTTTTATTGAGTAGAAGAATAATAACATCACTGCATTGAAGAAAAAATACAATAACAAAAAATAAGAAAGAAGACAAAGAGAAAAATAAATAAATACACAGCCTCAAACATTAACAAAAAAGATTGTCATAAGCTTTAAGAAACTTATTATTTTTCTTATTATTAATAAGCTTAAGAGATTCAATATTATACGAAATTTCAACAAGGAAAGTATTAAAAACAGGGTTTGTTTTTAGAAACTTATTTTTGTGTATAAAAAATTTACAGTGTAACACAAAAAATTTACAATAAGATCGAGAGCATGACCATCATCCGAGAAATACAGAAATATATCTTTTATAGACAAATTTAAATCATGTTTAAAAATGGATACCCCAATCCAGTTACTATGACCATTTATGTGAAGCTGCTTTGACCTAATCTACAATGTAAAAGCGCTATACAAATAAAGCTGAATTGAATTGAATTTTTGCATAATATGTCCCCTTCAAATGAACATTTTTTTGGACAGATTCAGAACGATCAGTGTCAAGAGATGGACCAGGATTCAAGTAATAAATGGATCAAATTGACCAATCATGGAGAGTGGGGAGCACATAGTGTAAGTAAAAAAAAAATCTTATTTATTTGATGTATAATTTTAGTTTTGTGTGCACTCATGCTTGCAAATTGCATACTTGTTGTCAAAAGTTTGAATTCTGTCAGATTTATAAAAATATTTTTAAATGAATGTGTGGTGTTTATCTGAAGGTTAAGTATGTAAGTTTGACACCTAGTGGATAAACTAGGTGTTGCACTTCTGGATCAAAACACATGCAAGTGTAGGTTGCCAGATTTATGCGAGTGTGCCTGACTATCGAGTCTAAAGGCTGATTTAAACCATTTTCTATCTAAAAGCAACGGCACACGATAAAAGGAATATTTTTCATACTAAAAGGAGTTTTTGTCCCTAACCAAGACCTGAAATCGTATTTTAGAAACAGCTATTTCTCAGCGTTGAAAACAGGATGAACTATGATCACCTCAGGTACACCTCATGTACTTTGTGTTAAATGCTAATATTGTGAATTTGAATGCCATTTTATATGACATTTATTGCCATACTACTGGTTGCAGCAGCAGATAGTTCACCTCAGATCTTGAAAATACAATAAACTGTTTAAATTAAACTTTAGACCTGTGACTTGAGTTACTAAACAAATATCAATCATTCAGCATGTAAAAATAATAATGTCAAAGAGATTTAATGTGTATTAATTAAATTATTAACCTTACCGTTTCATGAGCGAGTGCATATTCTGTGCTTCTGAATGGCTTAATTTACATTTCGGTCGTGTTTTGTCTGGTGCAAACAGCCAAATTGCTTATTACCGCAAATGTCACATAGCGGGTTGTTAGGACACGGGATTACATTGTCACCTGCTCACCTAAAATATTTATATTATTTGCTAATTAATAACCACCTCATGTGGAACTGTGAATCTGCATCTCATTTCGGAGTCTGCTACTGTCCACCGGGGGTCTCATTTCAGTCACAGACTCACACTTTGAGAGCTTTTCTGACTGAATCATTCAAATACACAGTTTTCCAGTAAGGCAACCCGGGTTGCTGAAATATAATTGGCTAAACTGTAATATATAAAGTTTTTATTTACTACAAAAAATCATTCCACATAAATCTGCTGTTTTTCCACATAAATCCACCTGTTTTTTTTTTGTTTTTTTTTTGTGCAGAATTAGCAGAAAATGTCCTCAGATATTCTGTCTTTAATTATAACTAATAGATTGAAATCTTTTTTTTCCCCCCTGAAACTAAAGTAGCATTTATTCCACTGTTTTCAATTATTCATAATCCACAGGAAATCATTGTATTATGATGATTTGCACTTTTCTTAACTCAGTTGTGCTGTTGAGTATTTTTTTGTGGAAATTCTGATGCATTTTTATCAAATTTCTTTAAATGAAAGTGGCAAGAGAATGCTCAACACAACATATTTAAAATTGAATTGCCTTTTAACATTATGCAATATTTCCTTTCTTTAAACTTGTAAATTAACAGGGTTATTTTCAGTTTCTCAGTGCTGTTATTGAGTCATTTCTGTAAGTTTTTTCGCCCTTCACTTTTGTCAATTGGTGAAGTTTTGTTTCTCTTCACTGTCGCCACTGGCTTTCTTGGTTTGGGACTTGTGGAGCTGCGCATTGATGGATTTGTCTTTCAGTGTTTGGACTTTCAGCAGTGAAAATTAAACTACACTGAACTGAACTAAACTGAACTTCAACTCTGAAAACTGGACTGACAGTTTCAATTTACTAGAACTTTTATGTTAAGCTGCTTTGACACAGTCTACATTTGTAAAAGTGCTATAGAAATACAGATGGATTGAATTGACGTTTTCTTCCTCGTATGATCAGGTGAATCTTAAATCTGGCACTAATATCCTGTACTGGAGAACTACTAGAATCTTGCTCGGCTCTAAAGCAGTCAAACCTGTGCTTTTGAAGAACATCTGGATTGAAGGTGAGGACATTCTATTCATTCTGCTACATTCTAATCTGAAAATGTTCATAGAAGGTTATACAACGGGGTGATTTTTCTCTCTTTCAGGTGTGGCGTACACATCAGAGTGTTTCCCATGTAAGCCTGGTACTTTCAGTCACAGCCCAGGCTCGTCCTCGTGTGATTCCTGTCAACGGGACACATACTCTGGCCGTGGGGCAAGCTCCTGTACACCCTGCAACACAAAAACACACTACGCCTGTAAGTGCATAAAGCTTATGCTTATGAAAACCACACAGACATCTGTCGTTCTATATATTATTTATCTATCTGTTGTTCTATCTATCTATCTATCTATCTATCCATCCATCCATCCATCCATCCATCTATCGTATTATTGTTTTATCCATTCGTCCAACTGTGTTTTATCCATTCGTTCGCCTGTCCGTCATTTCATTCATCTATCATTTTATCCATTATTTGCCATTTCATTCATCCGCCGTTTTATCCATCCATCCATCTATCTGTCGTTACATCAGTCCATCCATTCATCCATCAGTCATTTCATCCATCCATCCATCGTTTTATCCGTCTATCCTTTAATCCTTCTATCCATTTGTCATTTCATCCATCCATGTGTTGTTCTGTTTATCATTTCATCCATTGATCTGTCCTTTCATCTATCTATCATTTCATCCATCGATCTGTCGTTTTATTTATCATTTTATCCATCCATCCATCTGTCATTCCATCAATCTACCCTTCAATCTTTATTCGAGTTATGTTCATGTCATTCTATCAATACTTAATACTTAAATTTTATTTTTCAAAGTTTATATCTGACCCTGGACACCAAAACCAATCAGAGTTGTCAACTTTTGGAAATTAACATTTCCAAATCATACAAAAGCTGACCAACTATGACTTTCCAATAAAAGCAGTCTAAATCAAGTTTGTAGCTATTCTTATAACTAATAAAATAGTTTTTATATATTTAGAGTAGGAAATTAACAAAATACCTTCATGGAACTTAATCTTTACTAAATATTCTATTTATTTATTTATTTATTTTTGCATGAAAAAAAAAATCTATAAATTTGACCCATACAATGCATTTTTGGATATTGCAAAAACACATACTTGTGCAGCATAACCCTGGTTTTGTGGCCCAGGATCACATTTTAAATTTATTTTTATTTAATTACCAGTTTTTTTATGGAAGTCCTAAGAGGCCATGCAATAAAATGTTTTTCGTTTTTCTTTATTGTTTCCTCATAATAACGACTTAATTTGCTTGTGATCTTGACATAACAGAAAGTTGGGCAGGTAATGTAATAATAATAATAATAATAATAATAATAATAATAATAATAATAATAATAATAATAATAATTATTATTATTATTATTAAAAGCAAAAAATAAGTTGTGGTAACTAGAAACAACTTTTTGTTATGTTGAGATCACAAGAATTTAAAAGTCATGATTACGAGAAACACGTTTTGTTGACAATACTAAAATTACTAGTTTGTTATCACGAGAAAACAAGAGAAAAAATATTTTAATGAGTGGCCTCTTAGGACTTTTATGGGTATTTCTTCCTTAATAAATAATTGTAATTAGAAAAATGATAAATAAATGCTAAATAAAATCATATTTCATTTTGCTTGCTTGAATATTTGCATATATTTATTAGAGGCTATAAAGTTCAACACAAGTTTTTACCAAGTATGATAAACAATTCTTTAAGCAAAACCCTTTTATTAATCTTGTCTTTCAGTCTCTGCTATGTGTGTGATGTTTGACTCTTCCGTTTCTGACAATAAACAGCAGAAGGCTCTGCCATGTGCAAAACTAGACCTCCGTGCACCGAGAAAGACTACATTCAGACCTACAGCACCTGTGATAGTGATGGAAAGGTAAACAAATAATTAAAAGTACATACCAAACAACCACATCTGTACTCAAGTTATCAATGAAATAACTGAATGTATAAACTTTGTATTTCTTATAGACTCGGGCCATATATAAGTGGGTAGAACCTCAGATCTGTTTGGATTCTGCTCCTGATGCAGTAACACTGCCACCTTCTGGTCAACGCAAGCCATGTCCACCATGTAATCCTGGTTTTTATAACAACGACACTGCCACTTGTTCTCCGTGCCCACCCGGATCTTACTCTGACGGAGTCAAAGGTAATAAATCACCTGAAGACGTTTAAACCGTGATTATTTCAGAAGCACAAACATAATTTTAAAATAAATTGCCAAGATATTAAACGGATTGTGTGGCATCTGTAGCATGCCAGCCTTGTCCAGCTGGCACGGAGCCTGTCCTCGGGTATGAGTACAAGTGGTGGAATGTGTTGCCTGCCAACATGAAGACATCCTGCTTCAACGTGGCCAACAACAATTGTGATGGCTTGAATGGTGAGAGATTACACAAGAAGAACGCTGTGGGATTATGTTGCAGCATATGGCTGTAATGCTTGGTTTTAATGCTAGATGTCGCTGTTGCTTTAATGATGAACTAAAATAGACAGTACATGTTCTCTTTTTATGTGTACATCACAGCCGTATATTCACTTATGGACCTTGAGGAGGACAAGTAGAAAAGTCAAAATGTTCATCCCAATATCTGATATTAATGCTGCTCAGTTTGAGGCTCGCGTAACATTTTAAACTTCTCTGCTGCAGTGACCGAACATGCTGCCTATGAAATAAAACTAGCTTTCTCTAGCTAGAGAATGTTAGCATGCTAGCAGTGCACTTACTGTAGTTCCATCCATCCATTCATTCATCATTCTATGTATCATTCGGTCAATTGTTCTGATTTCTATCTATCGTTCTGTCTATCTGTCTGTGTATCCATACATCTATCCATCCAGCCATCGTTCTATCATTTTATCTATCATTCTATTTATCATTCCATCATTTTGTTTCGTTAATCTTTCTGTGTTCTATCTATCGTTCTGTCTGTCCATCCATCCATTTTTCTATCTATCATTCTTTTATTTTATCTATCATTCTTTCTTTCTATAAAACATTCTTTCATTCCATCTGTCATTATTTCATTCTATTCATCATTCTATCTGTCTATCAATCTATTGATCTATCTATAATTTATATCTATAATTTCATTCTACCTATCAATCTATCATTGTTTCATTCTATTAATCATTCCATCTATTGTTCTATCTATCTTTTATTCTATCTTGTTCTATCTATCGTTATATTTATCGTTCCATAGTTCTGTGGTCTATTTATCATTCTGTCCATCCATCCATCCATCCATCCATCCATCCATCCATCCATCCATCGTTCTGTCAATTGTTCTGTGTTCAATCTATCGTTCTGTCTGTCAATCCATCCATCCTTCATTTTATCTATCAATCCATCGATCGTTTTTTCTATCTATCATTCTTTCATTTCATCTGTCATTTCATTCTATCTTTCTATCTGTCTATCAATCTATTGTTCTATCTATAATTTCATTCCATCTATCGTTCTGTCATTCCATCTGTTGCCATATCTATGATTATTTCATTCTATCATTCTGTCTATCCTTCTACCTATCTATTGTTTTATCTTTCTATTGTTCTGTCTTTATTTTGTTCTATCATTCTTGTTCTGTCGTTCTATCTATTGTTCTTTAATTCTATCTATCGTTTTTTCATTATATCTGTCGTTCTTTCATTCTATCTATCGTTCTTTCATTCTGTATATCTATTGTTTATTTTCCATTGTTATATCTGTTTTTTTTCATTCTTTCATTCTATTCATCGTTCTATTTGTTCTATTGAACTTATATTGTTCTATCTATCTGCCATTCTCTCTATTGTTCTATATATCGTTCTATTGTTCTATCATTCTGTCGACTGTTCAGTCATTTTTGTTATTTATTTTCCCAATCAAACATATTTAGCCTTCGAATCTTATCATCTTGTTGCTGCCAGATGTCGCTGTTGCGTCACTGATAAACAAATTGGCTTTTTCTACATTGCTTTTTACACATTCCTGTGATTTGAACATCATGAGGGGAAATTTTTATCTGAAACTGAAAATTATCCACACCAATATCTGATATTGCTTATAGAGAACTTGTTGTTAGAATTATTATTTTAGAATTGCTTTGCCTTAATAGTCTGACAATGTTAAAATAACTGAGATGACCAATCAAATGAAGGCGCTTTAGCGATCACATAGAAGCTCAAATTGAATTATGGTAGCAAATATGTAATATTTTAGAGCGGCTTTATATCATGGACATTTTAAAACACTGACAACTTTTGTGATGCAGTTTAACATTAAATGTATAGCGTAAATCCTACGTCACCTAATGGAATACAATTGAATCCATTTTGTTTTTCTGCACATTTTTTTTTCTTGAGCCTCTCATCTCTTATTATTTTTTTGTTTGTTTTATTTTTCATTACCTTAAATCCCCACCAAAAATATTTAAGATGTGGTTTCAGCTTCGGTGCACATTTGTGTTAAAGATCTTCATATCTTGTACATCTTGTGCGTTTTAGGTTGGGAAGTAGCCGGTGATCACATCCAATCAGGAGCAGGTCGTTCGGATAATGATTATCTCATATTAACTCTCAGAGTGCCCGGTTTCAAGTGAGTCTTCAAGCACTTGTCCACCTCCTCACAACTACACCGTTCAAGTGCTCATTAAAGCTCATTAAAGCCTTGTATGTTTAGCATGGTTAAGCCTTGTACATCACCTCTTCTGCTGCTTGCGATGGTATTAAAAGAATATATTAATTGAATAGTACGTTAGACTTGTTTATCATTACCCACGTCTCTCTGTGTAAAGAGGAATCTGTGTGGTTTATAATATCAGGTTGCCCTTGTCAGTTCGAGCCGCGTCCGGCAGCGAGTTTGGCCGGATCACGTTTGAGTTTGAAACCAGCTGTAAAGCCGACTGCGAGTTTTACTTTATGATGGTGAGTGTGTTCATATGGGATTGTGAAACTATTAATGTATATGGATATAGAGTTGAAATCAAAAGTTTTTTATTTTTTTATTTCCCAAATTATGTTTTACAAAGTATGGAATTTTTCACAGTATTTTTGATAATATTTTTTCTTCTGGAAAAAAAAATAAGATTATTATTATTTTTTTTAATCAATTTATGGTCAATATTATTAGCCCCCTTAAGCTATAATTGTTTTTGAACAAAGCATCTTTATACAATGACTTGCCTAATTACCCTAACTTGCCTAGTTAATCGAATTAATCTCGTTAAGTCTTTAAATGTCAGTTTAAGTCGAATACTATCATCTTTCAAAATAACTAGTAAAATGTTATTTACTGTCAACATGTTGAAGATAAAATAAATCGGATATTAGAAATTAGTTATTAAAACTATGATGTTTAGAAATGTTAATTTTCTGTTAAACCGAAAATGGGGATAATTACATACAGGGGGGCTAATAATTCTGACTTCAACTATATGTGTGACTAGTCATTTATATATCATGCCTATAACAATATTGGCAAACAAATAACATATTTAATTTTTGAATGTTATAATTTTCAGTCTGATAAAAATACATTTTTAGCTGATAAATGATGCTTTATTCTAAGAAAGACAAGATGTTGTCCAGTGTGGGAGTTGTTCAGTTCCTTCCCTGCCATTTTGTTTTCTGTAGTTTTAAAATAAAATTAGTGGTCCATTTCATTTGGAATTGTTTAATTTTTGTAGTCAGGCTCAAAATAATTATATCAGAATTTTCATTTATTGGTTTATATGGTTATTGGCTTCCATATATAGTGTTTTCATTATGTTATTGTCTAGAAAATCTATAGCCATCCCTACATTAAACATACATAAGGGTTATTTTGACATGTCAACACACTTTCATGACAGTCTGTAATAAGTTATTCATTTTACAAATTATTACAAATAAAGATTAGTTGTTCATAATATAACATGAGTAGTAGAAAAATTGTTTTAAAAGGTGTCCAGAATAGTATTAAGAAAATTTAATAAAAAGCTAACATCGTAACAATATGGTGTTACATGAAGGTCATAATAATAATAATAAAAGATTTACTTTAATCCCTTTCACTAAAACAAAGCAGAACAAATAAATCTAAAAGCAAGGCAACTTTACAAAAAGCATAAATCCAAAATAAAATGTAATTTCTCCCCACCTTAACTCTGCTAAAAAATGTCAAACATAAATGAAAATGAATATGAGGTTTTTTTCAAAGAAAGCATAAAAAAGGAAATCTTAAAATCATAGAAAGCCCACAGGCAGTTTATTACATTAACAAATTAATGTTATCTCTGTTTTAACACTTTTTTTTCCCCACTAAAATAATTAAGCAAGTTACAGTTAAAAATGATGATGATAGATAGACAGAATGACAGATCTTTATATTTTAAAAACCGTGGTTCAGGTGAAGGATTGTGCTTTATCATTAGATTTAGATACTGAGAGTTGCAGTTTTGCTATAAATAATTTCACACAATGCGTTACACTTTCTCCTGAGACCAGGTGGAATGTTCTTAATCATGCACTTTCATGACCAATTGAAACGTATGCAGAAACAAACACTGATACAGTAAGGTCAAACACTTAATTGCTTGTGTTATTGATTTTTGTTCTCATTCCAGGATGTAAACAAAAGAATCACGAATGTGGTCGAATCATGGGAAGGGAGTAAAGCCAAGCAAAGTTACACGCACATCATGACTGAAAACACTTCGGCTTCCTTCACCTGGGCTTTCCAGCGAACCAGTCAGGCCAGTGATGTCAGTACAAATGCATGCAATGCCACACATGAGCAATGTCACACGAGTAGCAGTGTGATATGGCTGTATATCAGCAATGGTGGGAGGCTTAGTGCCCCCACCAGTGCCAATATACAGCCATATTGCACTGCTACGAGTAGCATAATTGTGTATATAAAAACAAAATCAAACATGGAGAGTCTCAAAAACCCTATTGTATGAGGAACTACTTTCTTCAGCGTTAGATTCAAATCATTAGCTGACAGTTAAACAGCTGAGCAAGCATCTTTTAAAGATTCTATTGACACTTTAGATCTGTAGTGTCTGCTTGTTTCTGGCTGTATCTGGGCGGAGTAATACACAAAGGGTAAAGGGGCTGTACGGGTGCTGATATTACTTAAATATATCATGACTATCAGCCAATCAGATTCGAGAACCAGACAGAACAGTTGTATAATAATAAATAAGCAATATCACACGAGTAGCAGCGCAATATGCTTGTATATCAGCACAGTTGGTAGGCGTGCATTGGCTTGAGTGCCCCATCAGTGCCGATATACAGCTATATTGCACTGCTATGAGTGTGATATAGCATGTATACAACAGTTTAATGGCATAATCATGTGTATATATATTAAAAGATCAAACACGGAGAGTCTCAAAAAACCTTTTGTATTAGTAACTACTTTCTTTCCACATTCATTCACATCTGCAGCTGATGGTCAGAACAGCAGAAACCGTTGCTCATTCACTCACGTTACTTTAGAGCCAGTGTTTGAATGATTCTCCTGCCTAATGTAGAGCATTGTAATGTCTAAGTGATGACAAAACGGGTGAGTTTGCTTACATTTTAAGATTATAAGGCTGACCGACCTGAAATAGCTTCAGTCTACAAAGATCTCCCAGTATTTCTCTGTTGCAACCATGGGCGTGTATTCAATTTAACAGTAGGAGAGGGGGGACAATAAATATATAATTTTCTCATGAGCAATTTTTAAAGGGAACACAAATAATACAGTTAAATTATACATGTATAAATGTATTTCAATATATACAAAGTGTCCACATTAATTAAGACACTTAAGAACAGAATATAAATTGATTGTAAAAAATCAAACATTGGGGTCAGTTTGGATGTAGCTCAGTGATCATTTAGTAAATGCACAGCTAAGCAATATGCTAATTTTTACCGCTAATGTCAAGTTAACATTATGCCAAGTCGTTACAAATAAAACGTATCATGGGGCGTGGCTTTTCGTGTTAGTTGCAGTGCACTAGCTATTGCAAACAAGCTAACGTTAACTAGATAAGTAATATTTAAATCGCAAATAAAGCAGAATCATGGAAAATTACCTGGGTGATCAGCATTTTTGCCACAACTAATTTATAAATGAGTCTGCATCAGCTACCTTAAAGAGAATTGGTTTATTTAAAGGGAATAAAACACCCTACTCTAGTTCAACATTAATTGAGCCATGTGGGTGGTAGGTGAGATGAGCTAGGAAAGCAGGCAGTGGATCAAACCACTGTGAGGGAGGGGGAACTCAAATGTTTCTAAATGCATTTTATTTTGCTTTTTTTTTTTTTTTTTTTCCTACTTACACGATTACTTTAGGTATGCATGCATATATTTTTCACAATAGAGAATGCGTTTTTTATTTATTGATTTTGTTTTTATTTTTGGGTGCATATGTTCTCTCTGTCCCCCCTGGGATTTACACCTGTGGTCGCAAACAGATTTTTTTTTTACAAAAATGAATCCTAAAAAAGCCATAGCAAAGCAATCACTACTCGATAATTATGGTAAAAAAAACAAAAGAGATCGATGTGAATGTCGCTTACCTGTACTCTTATGATTTGTTCAGCTATAGCTTTAAACTTGCGCTGTTAAAAGTTTTTCTCTCAATGCAAAGGAGCGAAAAGACATCCTGCAGCACGATACGCGCGAATGATGCGAATTGAGTGAATGGCCTCTGCTCAGTCAGAAGCATCGCTAAAAAAGCCTCAATGATTCGATGCTGTTTTCAGCCTTCATAAAGCACATAAAGTTATTTTCTCAATAAAATACATTTTAGCCTATTAGCCACAAAGCTAGAATCACCGGGCAGACAGAAGCCCTGCCCATCACGCGAATCAGTGTCTGTTCTGAAGCAGATTTGACGTGCGAATGAAGTGGATTTTGACACGTGAATGAAGCGAGTAAACTCAAATGTTCGTGCGGGTATTTAGGCTCGAATAGCGCGATTTATCTGTGTGTCAACCGTCAATTTCTTTGCTCTGCTCAATATGACAGGCTGATAGCCATTAATGCGCAGCAAACATATTTTTAGATAAGGAACCATCCCTATAAATAAACTGCGTAGTTGCAATCTAAACAACTACATTCTTGCCTAAAAAGCCTTAAAAGTACATCGTTGTCTAACTGCATGAGTTCAGTCATCTGCTTTGCATTTGTGTGGGTGGAGAAATACACAAGGGTGTGAAGGCAGTACGAGTGCTGATATTACAGAATATGACATGGCTTTCAGCCAATCAAATTTGAGAACAGTTGTATGAATGTGTTGTTTGTTCCTTATATCCATAAGGTGCGTCAGTATGCAAATGACGTTGTGAAGATTTACTCCATAACTGTGAGCAATGCTATGGATGGAGTGGCGTCTGCATGTCGGGCCTGTGCCCTGCAGTCTCAGCAGGCTGGTTCCTCCTGTGTGCCATGCCCAGCTGGACACTACATTGATAAAGAGACCAACCAGTGCCACGAGTGCCCTCCTAATACCGTCCTTTCTGGGCACCACATTTATGGCAAAGAAATGTGCCAGCCGTGTGGGCCTGGAAGCAAAAGCAATAAGGTATTTCAAATGCTGTTTGTCTAGTTTTACATTCCAGATGAGGTTGCTATTATTATTATTATTATTATTATTATTATTACCTAATATTCTAGTTTTCTTTGTGTGTGTGATTTTGTGCTATACAGGTCAAAATTTAAATTTAATAAGAGTTTTTGCTTATAAGGGCTGCATTTTATTTGATAGATATATTTATTTAATTAAAAAGAGCTGTTTTCTGTATTAATGCGTTTTAAAATTTAATTTATTCCTATATGTAATTTACAGTGCATCTGGAAAGCGCCTAACTTTTTTCACGTTTTTTTATGTTATAGTCTTATTTCAAAATGGATTCAATTAATTTATTTCCTCAAAATACTACACACAATACCCCATAATGACATTAATGACATAAAAATTAAAAAGCTGAAAAATCACATGTACAGAAGTATTCTCAGCCTTTGCCAAATAGCTCTAAATTGAGCTCAGGTACATTCTGTTTCCATTGATCATTTATAAGTTGTTTCAGCAGCTTATGGACATGATTTGAAAAGGCATTCACCTGTCTATATAAGGTCCCAGAGTTTACAGTGCATGGCAAAGCACAAACCAAGCATGAAGACAAAGGAATTGTCTGTAGACCTCCGAGACAGGATTGTCTCGAGGCACAAGGCTGGGGAAGGTTACATAAAAATTTCTGCTGCTCTGAAAGTTCCACAGCACAGTGGCCTCCATCATTCATAAGTGGAAGATGTTTGGAACCACCAGGACTCTTCCTAGAGCTGGCCCGCCATCTAAGCTGAGTGATCGGGGGAGAAGGGCCTTAGTCATGGAGGTGATCAATAACTCATTCTTCTGTGGAGAGAGGAGAACCTTACAGAAGGACAACCATCTGTGCAGCAATCCACCAATCAGGCCTGTATGGTAGAGTGGCCAGAAGTAAGCCACTCCCCGCCTGGAATTGGCCAAAAGGCATCAGAAGGATTCTGGTCTGATGAGACTAAAATTTAAATCTTTAGAGTAATTGCCAGGCGTTATGTTTGGAGAATACCAGGCACCGCTCATCACCAGGCTATAACCATCCCTACAGTGAAGAATGGTGGTGGCAGCATCATACTGTGGGAATGTTTTTCAGCAGCAGGAACTGAAGGACTAGTCAGGATAAAGTGAAAGATGAATGCAGCAATGTACAGAGACATCCTGAATGAAAACTTGCTTCAGAGTGCTCTTGACCTCAGACTTGGATGACGGTTCATCTTCCATCAGGACAATGACCCAAAGGACAATGCTAAAAATCAATGGAGTGGCTTTACAACAACTCTGTCAATGTCCTTGAGTGTCCCAGCCAGAGCCCAGACCTAAATCCTATTGAAAATCTCTTGAGAGATCTGAAAATGCCTGTACACATCGCTTCCCATCCAACCTGAGCTTAAGAGGTACTACAAAGTGGAATGGGCAAAAATTCCCAAATACAGGAGTGTCAAGCTTGTGGCATCATATTCAAAAAGACTTGAGGCTGTAATTGCTGCCAAAGGTGCATCAACAAAGTATTTAGCAAAGGATGTGAATACTGATGTACATGTGATTTTTCATGTTTTTTTTATTTATTTATTATTTTTTAGTAAATTTGCAACAATTTCAAAATATCTTTTATCACATTGTCATTATGAGGTATTATGTGGAGAATTTTTAAGGAAGGCAACTGGGTGGCGCAGTAGGTAGTGCTGTTGCCTCACAGCAGGATGATCGCTTAATAAAGGAACTAAGCCGAAAAAATAAATGAATGATTGAATGTTGAGGAAATCAATGAATTAAATTTATTTTGGAATAAGGCTGTAACATAAAAAATGCGGAAAAAATAAAGCACTATGAATGCTTTACGGATGCTCTGTACATAAGATTAGTCAGTTACAAAGCCAAACTTAGAACTAATAAAAAAAAAAGAACTTAAAATCACAGCGCAATATTTAGTACCACACAAATGTTTTCTCTTTCTGTTCCAAAAGATTTTAGGTGACCAAACTTTATTGGAAAAAAATAAATAAAAAATATAATTATATAAAGAGAAACTACATCCTGTTCAATATAAATGGATGCAATGTTATTTATTCACATTAAAAAAATTGTATTTAAACATGGTAAAATAGAGAAACGTAATGTGCTTCATTCTAATTACTTAGTGAGTCAAAAAAAAAAAAAAACATTTTTGATAGTGGTAATTGAATAGTAATCGGGACTGTACTGTCTTGAATGTTTAATTTCACAGGAGCACAGCGTGTGTTTCAATGACTGCTCGTTCACACACACTGACCACAATCAGACCCTTCAGTTTGACTTCAGCGCTCTGGCATCTGCTGGCTTCATCATGAACGGGCCCAGTTTCACTGCCAAAGGCACAAAATACTACCACCTCTTTAATATCAGCCTGTGTGGAGCTGAGGTACAACAATGTTCACACCAGAAATAAACTAAATCCACATCAAATAGTATGATTTATTCTTGAATCTGTCTTTTGTCAGGGCCATAAAGCAGTTTGCAGAGATAATGTCACAGAACTATCTAATGAGGACACAGAGGGTGGTCAGAGTGGCAGTTCAGTGGACGCTTTCCTCTGTCAATCAACCATTATACCATCAGATGGGCGGGGCTTAAGAACAGCCCTTTCCTCGCAGTCCATCAGCCTGGCGGACACTTTTCAAGGTAAAAGAGATTAACTTGTAATTTCAAACCTAAAAAAGCATTACTGCTTCAAAGTATAGAGAAGAACAGAGCACTTAAAAATAATAATAATAATTTAAAAAATGTAAAAAAAAAAAAAAACTGCTAAGATGTATATATTTTTCAATTACTACAGGACAAACAATTGTTTTCCAATGAGCTGCCTAATTAATCTAACATATCTAGTTAACCTTATTAACCAAGTTAAGCCTTTAAATTGCACTTTAAGCTGAAGACTAGTATCATGCAAAAATAACTAATAAAATATTAAGTGCTGTCATCGCGGCAAAGACAAAAGTAAAAAAAAATGTGTTGAAAAATCGTCTTCATTTAACAGCACTTAGGAAATAAAATGAATTAAAAGAATTTAAATGTCACTAATAATGATAATTGAATAATAATAATAATAATAACATTTAGTTTTCAACTGTATAGTGTTAAAATGGCTGGTAGGATAATACTATCAGTTTTGTTATACTAGAAAATGTTTAAATGTTTAAAACACACGTGCTAATTTGTGCCCTCCTCACTGTGCATGTCCATATTAAATCCATTTGAAGTGGTTCCTAAAGAATGCCAAAATGAAATCTGTAACCTGTGAGATCAGTCTTTCTGTTCTAACCTGAGAGATTAGACTTTCTGTTATCAGTAAATAATGAAGAAAAACATCCATAATAGATTTAATTATAAATGAAATCCCGACGGGACTTTTAACTGAAGTAATTTGCAGTTTAATCACCAGAGCTCAATAAGTATGAAATATCACCTATGAGCAAACCACAGTAAGAGTGCTGCTAATGTTAATGAGAAGATCACCAGGGGACTGTGGCAGTTATGTAACATATTAATTCATCAATTTTAGTTTGTTTTGCATCCGTTATCTGTATGTAGTCATTTAGAGCATACTTTTTTATTTGTTTTCATGATTTTCTGATATTTTAAGTGAAACATACTTAAAATGTATTCAAAAACTCAGTTTCACTTGTAAGTACTAATATTCACTTAACTCATGATTTTTGCTGCTTGTTTAAACAACTTAATTAAAATGAGCTGCAACATGATTCTTGTGGGTTTTTGGGACAACTTAATTGTTTTATCTTCAGTCCAATTAAATTTGCTGAAACAATTAAGTTCACTTAATCAATTTGTGTTAGGACGACATTAAGGAATTGTGTGGAACCCAGCATGTTTTACATGTTTTACAGTGTTACTGTGCGTTCACACCAAAGGCGGCGTGGATGTTAAAGTAACCGGGAGTCGTTCATATTCAATAAGTGCCGGGCTTGGCACATCTTCACTGGTGTGGGCATTGAGGAGAGCTGAAATCAAGTCAACTTCATGGTAATGAGCTATGACTCATTTCGGCAGCAAACAATTGGAATGCAGATGTCCACCACTTGTGACGATTCCTGTGAACACAGTCCTGTGAACTGTGGTTCTGAACACAATTGTTCCCAAGGGTTTTAATATTGCGGCCGCTGGATTTTCAGTTATTTATTTACAATGTTTTTTATTTTAATTATCTGTGGAGCTTTTTAAGGTTGCAAAAGTGTGTAGAATTCACACCTTTTATGGGAGCCTATTGAATTTTTTCCAGCACTTCAGTTCGAACAAACATCTGAATCAGTTCATTTGTGTTCCTGTCAATATGATTTAGTAGCTACAACAACTGTGAAAATCTTTTGAAAATAATGACTCACAAAGTAAAATTTTAAATTTGGATTGTTACTTAATAAGACTGGGAAAAAAAACAATGTATGAAAAACCCAAAATAGCAACAGGAAACATTGAAACATTTTTGACCACTTCATATAGTCTAATTTTGTTGGAAGAAAATGTTCTTTCTTTAATAACTTTTATTTGGTATAATTTGTGTCTTTATTTTAATGTTTTTTTTGTTGGTCAGTTATCTACAAAATAAAAAAAAAAGAATCGAAAACATTTTGGTGAAGTTACGTGCAAAACCTTTTTCAAGAATTATGAACTAAAATCAAGTAGGCCTATAATAGCAAAATACAGTATTTATGACAATTTTCTTTATAATTTTGGTTATGAATTACGGTATCACAATACTACTTGGTATCATGATACTTCAGCTGGTATAGTATCATTTAAATTGTTATGAATTAAATCGTGCTAATTCACTTGAGCTAGCTACTAAATCGATACGTTATACGAATTGCTGTGAGATTGCATTGGATATGCTGCAACTGCCCCTTTAAATATGTGAAACAATGTAGTGAATTTTGACGCTCTTGTCAGTGGACTTGTAAAGGCAGAAAGCGTTGTAACCAGGGCGGCCAAAGCAAACTTTGACGCTCTTGCCACCTTTGGTGTGAACGCACAGACTTGCACCACCAGAAAAAAAAAATTTATATATATATTAACATTCTTGGTTATAAACCCCAGCGAGCATTTCTAAATCTAAAACAACTTCTTGTTTACTGATCAATTTGATTAATTTCTTCAATCTGCGGCTGGTACCTGCTGTGTGTCGCTCCCTAAGGGTGTGTGTGTGTGTGTGTGTTTGTACTCCAGGAGCCACTGTGGAAAAATCACTTAACGGAGTGACCGCTAGACCAGAACTATTCCCATCTCCATCATCCGAGAAGATCCCAGACGTCCACTTCTTCTACCGGTACTGCCAGATATACGTCATCAGACCCTTAAAGTGCTTCTCTCTCATGCCTGTCTGGGGTTTTTGTTTTAGGGCTTTTTGTAATGAGGTGTGCGGTTTGTTCTTTGCCTGCTGTCATCCAGGATGGGTTTAATGGCCTCCTTTTGTTTGTAAAGATCTCCACAGGTCACAGCCTCGTGTCAGAGAGGCAGAAATGCAGTGGTCTCGCTGCGCTGTAACCCAGAGAAAACTGAGAGGGGAGAGATATCTGTGCCCAGGTACACACACATATACAAACACACACAACCACACAAACAAACACTGCTGTTAATGCAGTCTAAATGTGGCACAGGGCATCCCATCATGTCATATCAAATCACTTGATACCATGATGTAGAGTTGATTTTAATTAATTTCATTCATTCATTTTTATTCGACTTAGTCACTTATTTATCAGAGCGCCACAGCGGAATGAACCACCAACTTCTCCAGCATAAATTTTACACAGCGATTGCCCTTCCAGTCACAACCCAGGACTGGGAAACACTCACTCTCGCACTCATACACCACAGCCAATTTGTTTTACCTAATTACCTGTAGCGCATGTCTTTGGACTGAGAGGGAAACTCGTGCGAACACAGGGAGGACATGCAAACTCCACAAAAAATGCAAACTGACCCAACTAGGACTTGAAACGGCAATCTTCTTGCTGTGAGGCAACTGTACCAACCACTGAGCCACTGTGCCACCACATTTTAACCGGCTAATAATTAAATTGAATAAACTTTGCACTTTAATTCAAGTTTACTGCAAAATATTGGTTTCTTGTGTTATAGTATTTATTTAAATAATATTATTGTATTATATATTAAAATATTAAACTGAATAAATAAATTAATTAAAAAGAATAAAGGCAAAAAACAACCATACCTTAAATTAAAATTAATGCAAAAATAAAATGAGAATAAAATACAAGTAATTTTACAATTTTACAAATAAACAACATGTGTCAGTCATTTATTTCTTTTTTAATTTTTGTAATCCATCCATCCATCCATCCATCCATCCATCCATCCATCCATCCATCCATCCATCCATCCATCCATCCATCCATCCATCCATCCATCCATCCATCCATCCATCCATCCATCCATCCATCCATCCATCCATCCATCCATCCATCCATCCATCCAAAAGATGAAATCATTTAATATGCCTCAACAGTTTTATCATCTGAATTCTTTCAAAACATTTGCTTTGAATCTCCTTTTCTAGCCAGTGTCTGCAGTCTGCTGTGCTCTGGCTGTGTTTTAGTTTCTCTGTCTGTGTCTGTCAGTGCGTGTCCTGCAGGCACCTGCGACGGCTGTACGTTTCTCTTTCTGTGGGAAAGCTCCAGTGTGTGTCCACGCTGTACTGAGGCTGACTACCACGCCATTGAGGGAGCCTGTAAAGCTGGAGTGCAGGTGCCTGTTTTCACTGGCTATATTAATACAGTCTGCTGTTTTAACAATGTCAACCGTGAACAATGTCTTTAGACGTGGTAACTCAAAATATTAGAAAATAATACACACCTGAATTTCAGCAGTTATTGCATATGCCTGTTGAAGAGTGACTATGTATTTATATAAATGACTGAGAAATTAGTTATGATGACTGTGCGTGTGCATTTGCAGGACCTAAATGCTATGAAAAACTGGTTTTGATGTGGAATTGCAATTTAATGCACAATATTAATCAAACAGTAGGAATACTAGGCTTGCTGATGTAAAAAATACAAACTACTCCGATTAGTCTGGAAGCGTCTGTCGTGACTCATGTTTATCATCAGGAGTTTATCTGGGGTAAGTTTGTTTTCTGCAGAACTCCATGTGGCAATGCATATGTGGAATATTCCTCACATTAAAGAAGCACCAAAACAAAAATCACAGTGTGTGTTCACGTGTTTGTGACAGGTGCTGTTTGAGCCATGATACCATACTTGATGAAACAAAACACTTGTCAGCTTGTTTGTCACTAATGTAAAAAGGAATAATACAAATTAAGTACACTGCTGTTCAAATTTAGCCTTAATAAGATTTATTTTTTAAATAATACTTTACAAATAGGTAATACTAATGTGTAATCTATAAATACTTTTGTAATGCAGATTAATTAATGCTCATTTAATCCACTCCTTTAAGAGGACTATATTAGTGGACTATTGTAAGGAAAAGTAAACGAGGGTAGAGTTGGCTATTTTGGATACAGCATATGTCTTCCCTGACCTAATGTGTAAGACATGGGTGAAAATAGTCTTTTTTTTTTTTTTGGTGTACAAAAATGTTCTTGGAGCTTCATTTGAATATTTAATTTAATTTCTTGGTAATTTGACATGTTCGTTCATGGAAGAAAACTCAGAAAGGGGAGTTCAGAAAAAGCGTAGATCTTTTTTTTATGCTCTAACAGCAACTTTTTGGACTCAAAAAGGGGGAATTAAAACCCCCCTAATTAACGCTTGATTCCCCCTGAAGGATGTTAAAATGATTTGCATGGTGGGATCAGCCCTTTTATTGTGAGAAATGGCTATTTCTGATTTTAAATGATAATTATTTTAAAAAATATGTAATATAAATATACATTTGACCACCCCTTTAACGGTTCATACCATTGGGGATGCATAATCGCGCCTGCCAGTCTATGCAAGAAAATATTCATTCATCAGTCTGAAACTGGTAGATCTAGAGCCATGTAAGACCATTTGTTTGTACATATAGCCTAAAAGTAAAGTCAAATTAGACACATAGGCCGCATTTACACTGCACTGTTCAAGTGACTCAATTGCGAATTTTTTTTTTTCTTCCATGTGGCACAGATCGGATATAGCCCATGTAAATCGTGTAAGCAGGAACAAATCACATGGATTCCGATTTGCTCAAATCAGATTCAGGTCTTGTGGAATATGTGGAAATTTGTCCGATATGAATCGGATCAGTGCTCTCGTGTCTGCAGTGTAAGCAGCTAGATCGGATTTTCACCTGTCACGCATTATTAAAAATCGTCAGCAAAACAGTCGGATACAGTCACAAAATCGGAATTGACCATCAAGATCTGCAGTGTTGACCTACAGTAACCTCTAAAATAGCTAATCAGAGGATACTGTAGTCAGAATACACTAAATATCCCTCAACACTTAACTACGTTTAAGTTTACGAACCACAAATCAAAACTTAAATGTGTTTTATTAATACATTAGATCTAATTTAACAAAATACTGAAGTTTGTATTACACAAACTAACATTACCGGAAAAGTTGACCCCTCACTCCTGGGTTTTCAATGCATAATTCGTACCCTGCTTTTATTTTTGTTTGTGTAATGGTATGCATGCGTGTTTCCATTTTTAAGGACACAATTTATGTGTGGACTGAACCTCGGCTGTGCACCAGTGGCCTGACTCTCCCTCTGAAGAGAACGTCTCCATGTGAGGCCATTGATTTCTGGCTGAAGGTGGGCGCTGGGCTCGGGGCGTTTTGTGCTGCTCTGCTCGTCTCCCTGACCTGCTACTTTTGGAAGAAAAACAAAAAGTATGATGTGTGTTACTATTTGAGTTTTGCAAACGTTTGCCCATTTTTCTTTATTTATGCTAATTTATCTTTGAGCTCTGATAGGCTGGAGTATAAATATTCCAAACTAGTGATGTCTGCCAATAAAGAGTGCGAGTTACCGGCGGCCGACAGCTGTGCCATTATGGAGGGAGAAGCAGAGGAGGAAGAGGAAGCGGTTTATGCCAAGAAGTCATCCCTTCTGGCTAAGCTAAAGGCTGCTGCTACTAAGGTTAGCTAAACTGCACTAGTTGGTTGATTGGTTGATTGATTGATTCACTCGTAAGAAAAAGTTTATTTGTATGCTTATTTTTTATTTAATGATGATAATTATAATTGAAAAAATAAAAATAATAATAAATAAAATAACGAAAGTAAACAAAAATGAACAAAATAAACAATAAAATAAACAAAAGTAAAAACAATTTCACTGTAAAAGTTGAGTATTAATAGTTGTAGTGTGTGTGTGTGTGTGTGTGTGTGTGTGTGTGTGTGTGTGTGTGTGTGTGTGTACAGAGTGTGCACAGACAGCCACTTTATTAGATACACCTAGTACTGGGTTGGACCCCCTTTTGCCTTCAGAACTGCCTTAATCCGTCGTGGCATAGATTCAACAATGTACTGGAAATGTTCCTCAGATTTTGGTCCATATTGATATTATAGCATCATGCAGTTGCTGCAGATTTGTTGGCTGCTCATCCATGATGCAAATCTACTGTTTCACTACATCCCAAAGGTGCTCTATTGGATTGAGTTCTGGTGACTGTGGAGGCCATTTGAGTACAAAGAACTCCTTGTTATGTTTAAGAAACCAGTCTGAGATCATTTGCACTTTATGACATGGCATGTTATCCTGCTGGAAGTAGCTATCAGAAGATGGGTACACTGTGGTCATAAAGGGATGGGCATGCTCATCAACAATATTTAGGTAGGCTGTGGTGTTGACACGATGCTCAGCTGGTGCTAATGGGCCAAAAGTGTGCCAAGAAACAACCCCCCACACTATTATACCACCAGCCTGAACTAATGGTGCAAGGCAGGATGGATCCATACTTTCATGTTGTTGACGCCAAATTCTGACCCTACCATTCAAATGTACCAGCAGAAATCGAGACTCATCAGATCAGGCAACCTTTTTCCAATTTTCAGTTGTCCAATTTTGGTGAGCCTGTGCATATTGTAGCCTCAGTTTCCTGTTAGCTGACAGAAGTGGCATCCATTTAATCTTCTGCTGCTGCTGTAGCCCATCTGCCTCAAGGTTGGATGTCCACAGAACTGGCGCTCAATAGATATTTTATCTTTTTTTGACCATTCTCAGTAAATCCTAGAGATGGTTGTGCATGAAAATCCCAGTAGATCAGCAGTTTTTGAAATACTCAGATCAGCCCGTCTGGCACCAACAACCATGCCACATTCAAAGTCACTTAAATCACCTTTCTTCCCCATTCTGATGCTCTGTTTGAACTGCAGCAGATCGTCTTGACCTTGTCTACATGCCAAAATGCTTTGAGTTGCTGCCATGTGTTTGTCTGATTAGATATTTGTGTTAACAAGAAGTTGGACAGGTGTACCTAATAAAGTGGCCGTTGAGTGTGTATATTTATATATACCAAAAAGCGCAAATAAGCTGCCAATGTCTAAAAACAAAGTGTCACGCTTCACTATAAAACATAGTGTGTATTTTTGTTTAATTAATTGCAGTCTTGGTAATTTTTAAATCCATTATACCATTTTAGTTTCGTTTAAATTTATCATGCTAACTAAACCCAACATGAACTAATGTCTAATGAAATGAAGACATTGAAATGACATGAAATAGTTGCTTTTTAAAGTGCCGTTTATTTTATATGCCTCTAGTGGCACCAAACCCAACAGCACTTCAAAATAACTGTTTATTTTGTTTGAGCTTCCCTGTTACTTACGAAGTTACTTGCTAAATATTTGGGGTGGACAATGTAAAAGTGCCTTTCAAATGCATGGCCTGTACAGTTTATCAACATAGGGTTTTTTGAAAATATGCAAGTTGTTAATTAATTATAAAAAAAATATGCAAATTCTCCACAGCGTTGCTTTTAAAAATGACCTCAGTTCAACCCAGTTGTCTTTTTTTTTTTTTGTCTGTTTCTCTCTTACCCTGCGCTAGCTCTCAGAAAATTCAGTGTGTGTGTGTGTGTGTGTGTGTGTGTGTGTGTGTGTGTGTGTGTGTGTGTGTGTGTGTGTGTGTGTGTGTGTGTGTGTGTGTGTGTGTGTGTGTGTGTGTGTGTGTGTGTGCCTTGATGTTTAACTCGGGGCAGTTGAAGGAGCCGCTGAGGGACCTCTAGAAACATCTGTAAGATTAAAGACTATGGAGCTGCATCAGCATATGCTGTGTGTCACACTGTGTTCACAGCCAATTAGAAGCGAGTTTAAGAGGAAGAGCGTTGTTTTCAGACATCACTCTTCAGAACTGTTTTTTTTCACTGAAAGTCTCCAGCGTTCGCTCCTGATAGATGCAGTTTGGACCTCCCAGTGGAGCTTTGCTGCAGTATATGCAGTCCGGTTTGCTCTTGTATTTAACAGAGAAGTTAATTAAATAAATTCTCTCTCCTGATCAAGAGGAATTGATCAGTCATGTTCCTGGTGACTGGTTTGCCTTAGATAAACCCTGAATAAAACTTTTGTAAATCTTTTAGCCTGGTTTTAAAGCACAGTCTAGCTGAACCACCTACTAAATGCCAAGGAGAGCAGTTCAGCTAACATTAGTGAAATAATGGGTTACAAATTACACAAAGCAAAATATTTTATGACACGGTTATATTGCCTCTTGACAGTCATGTTTATGACAGATTTATGACAAGTTCTGTAGTCTTGGTAATGTTAAGTTTTCAAAACCAACAATATCATCTTTGTTTTTAAAATGACATAACTGAGCAAATGACACTTAGCATGCTTTGACACTAGCCCTTTCGATCCACACCAGAATTCGTTTGACGTCAGTTCTGTGCGTTTAGCTAGTGTAAATGATGTCTTACGAACTCAGGAGCTCACCTGCAAACCATATCAGAGTCCGCCTAAAAGAGGTAGTCTTGGGTATGGTTCACGCAAACTCTGGTCCGATTCTGGAATGAATGCAATCGTACCAAAATTAGGAAGTGAACCACCATCTGTACAACCGTAGATCAGGAAGTGGGTTTTAGAAGAGTTATTACAACCTAACAGACTCCTCCTGCTCACCATTTCTGTTGTCAAAACTGACAGATGGAGGGGCGTGGTTTTGTATGTTAGCCACACCCAAAAACCTCAGACAAGCCTAATCTGAGATTTTAATTGAAATCAAACAGGAAGTGAATTTTCAGATTTCAATTAAAGATTAGAATGGCAAACTTTATTATTTTATATTATTAATGACGTGCACAGATAGTTCACCACAAAGCTAGAAATGTAAGCTATATGGTTAGTTTTGATTTCATTTGTACTTTAAAGGGCCATGTAACCCCCCGTCTCAGCAGGGTGTTTTCACCCCTCAACTTTGAAAAGTCAGGAAAGTGGGCGAGTCCAGCTTTGTTTAGGTGGGAGTGTTGAGTGGCGAAAGAGTGAAGGGTTTGCATGAAAAGTGTAGTTTCAGTACGTGCTCAACAGCTGATTTTCACATATATTATGATATACAGTAAGACAATAATATGATTAGGTGTTTACCTGAGTTGTTTTTTGAATGATCCCATTTTACATGGTATAGCACATAATTCGATTAACGTCATTCCGTCATCGCACTATTCACATTTCGTCCATAGTTTCATGTAATTTTGGGCGTTTCATTTTTAATTTGTCAACTTTAACTGTAGTTTGGCACTTTCGCTTTCATTCAGGAACATTTTTATGCATGCCCGCAGTGACAAACAAGATATTGGATGCGAGTATGAACTGCCAGGAGAGTGTTGTTTTAATGGAGTTCGATAAAAAAAAAATACTTTGGCATTTCTCGGTCGATGCAAAGACTTGGTCGGGGCAGAGAATAGCATCAAACCGCTATGTGTGTATAGACTGTCCTGTCACAAAATGCGTCAAAAAATATACGCTGAAAATGATACGCTGTGAAAATCCTACACGACGGTAATGGTTGGATTAAGATGTTTACATTCGCAGAGCAGCATTTACAACGCATCTTTCAGCCCATAATAATGTAGTGATATTAACTAAATAATTTTGTCTTAGGTTTGTCTTTAAAAACTAAAGGCGCACTGCTGATGATACTAACTTTGTCTCTGAATAAACAAAAACAAAGACCACTGATCACACACTTACCAAATCCATAGAGACAGGACGATCAACACGAACTGGAACCGCATTTTTTTTTAAAAGAAGACAAGTAGCAAATCCGTATTTCACTATTTTTTTCACACATATTTTTGTTGTGTGTTAGCAAACCACTGTATTCCACTTACGTGGATCCACATACGAGCGATGCTTTCATCACGGGGAAATGGAAACAAAACCTTCATTGCAGCACATTTGTAAACACAACACTGACGACCCATGTCTCCTAACAATTCTTTTTCATTCACAAGTGTTGAGCGATATATGAAATTTTCAGATTGGCATATCGCCCCACTGTGAGATTGCTGATACACAATACTACCACATGGGGGTGCGTCAGTGTTGTTTATTTATATAGAATATATTACTTTTATATTTAACCATATCGAAACGTATTTAATAACCTTTCAGCTGATGTAAAAAAATGTATTTAATAACCTACTACATTTGCATCAAGTTTGATCTTGGATAATACAAATTGCTGCAAATCACAGCGCTCTTACGCCCCATTCACACGGGGCTTCAGCATCAACGCTTGACTGAAGGTGTGTCTGAAGTTGGGGCTAACGCAATCGTCATAGCAGCGTCAGCCAATGAAATTCAGCCAGCAATAGGCCACTGCCTAGCTGGTGTATTTGCATACAGCGATCTGATTGGCTGACGCTCCCGTCGGCGTTTAAAGTTGAGCTTGTCCCAACTTCTGCAGCGAGCAACGGCTCTAAAACGGCGCAGACAGATCCACAATGCAGTTAGGCAATGCCTGACGTCACCCATTCAAAGTGAATCGGAAGCATTGACGCTGACACCCAATGTGAAAGGGGCGTTACAGCTTAATAGACGCTGAGACCATCCATCCATCAAATATGTCATATTGTACTCGCTGGTACAGACAGCCAGTCTACACGCTGGTATTTACGCAATGATTTCATTGCCATGATG